GTATGTAGTTATTTCAGTGGGCAAGATTGAGACCAATCTCGCAATAATCTTCCATGTACTTTTCTCACCCAAGTTCTAATCTAAAGAGTACAATTCAAGGGACTTCAGGCTCTCCGAGTAATTTAGGGGATTGACTGAGTTTATAAGAGGTGTGAAGGTTTTTTGTACATTTCCCAGCTCTTCTGTTTCACCTGCCCTGAAGGGGGCCGTGACCTGGAGAATATCACTATAGTCTTTGCATTTCTTTGTTTTGAAAGCCCTTGTTATCCAACCTATCATTTTCCTCATAGTTGCAATAACAACAATGGTATGTTCCTTGAACGTGAGATCTTCAGACATTATTCAAATTCAAATTCAAAGTTTATTCTCTATAAGGATTACAATGCTGAGTTTACAGAAATTTGGTTATTGTGTGGTTTACATGTAGTAAAATAGTGATTACAGAGTGTACCACTAGAACGCTTAGCATGGCTAGGCATTTCGGGCAGACTTAGTTTTATTCTTAATTGTAAAATATTACAAATTATGAGGTAAGTTGGTATTATGGCTGAGTGACTAAATACTAGTTTGTGAGTTTAGCAATGTGAATGCTTTTGTTTTGGCACAGTACATAGTTTCAGTATTGGAGCATCACAGGATTCATTATTTTAAGATTGAGATTAATATTTCTGTTTATGGTCAAATGAGTGAGTGAGTGTAAGTGTGAACCACCAAGTGGTATTCGTGTAGTTAGTTGATGGGGTGTATCAGGGAGATAAGATGTTTTCTAATGGTAGTTTTGAAGGCGATGAATGTGTCTGCAGTTCTAGAGTTCTCAGGTAGGGTATTCCAGATTTTAGGGCCTTTGACATACATTGAATTTTTTTAAAGGTTTAGTCGACACGGGGAATGTCGTAGAGATGTTTGTGTCTGGTGTTATGCCTGTGGGTTCTGTCACAACTATCAAGAAAGCGCTTTAGGTCAAGGTTGATATTAGAGTTTAAGGCCCTGTTTACCTGGAGAGTTTACCTGGAGAGAGTTTCGGGGGTCAACGCCCCCGCGGCCCGGTCTGTGACCAGGCCTCCTGGTGGATCAGCGCCTGATCAACCAGGCTGTTGCTGCTGGCTGCACGCAAACCAACGTACGAGCCACAGCCCGGCTGATCAGGAACTGACTTTAGGTGCTTGTCCAGTGCCAGCTTGAAGACTGCCAGGGGTCTGTTGGTAATCCCCCTTATGTGTGCTGGGAGGCAGTTGAACAGTCTCGGGCCCCTGATACTTATTGTATGGTCTCTTAACGTGCTAGTGACACCCCTGCTTTTCATTGGGGGGATGGTGCATCGTCTGCCAAGTCTTTTGCTTTCGTAGTGAGTGATTTTCGTGTGCAAGTTCGGTACTAGTCCCTCTAGGATTTTCCAGGTGTATATAATCATGTATCTCTCCCTCCTGCGTTCCAGGGAATACAGGTTTAGAAACCTCAAGCGCTCCCAGTAATTGAGGTGTTTTATCTCCGTTATGCGCGCCGTGAAAGTTCTCTGTACATTTTCTAGGTCGGCAATTTTCCACCTGCCTTGAAAGGTGCTGTTAGAGTGCAGCAATATTCCAGCCTAGATAGAACAAGTGACCTGAAGAGTGTCATCATGGGCTTGGCCTCCCTAGTTTTGAAGGTTCTCATTATCCATCCTGTCATTTTTCTAGCAGATGCGATTGATACAATGTTATGGTCCTTGAAGGTGAGATCCTCCGACATAATCACTCCCAGGTCTTTGACGTTGGTGTTTCGCTCTATTTCGTGGCCAGAATTTGTTTTGTACTCTGTAGATGTAGATTGCACAGTAGTAAGTGTGGATGTACTGAACTGGGAGTAAGTTTAGGTCTATGAAGAGTGGGCGGGGGGGTGTTGCCAGGGATGGGATTTAGTGATTATTCTTACTGCAGCTTTTTGTTGGGTTATTGGCTTTAGGTGTGTTGCTGCAGTTGATCCCCAAGCACAAATAGCATATGTGAGGTATGGATAAATAAGTGAGTGGTATAGTGTGAGAAGGGCATTTTGCGGCACATAGTATCGTATCTTGGAGAGGATCCCAACCGTTTTGGATATTTTTTTGGTTATATGCTGGATATGGGTGCTGAAATTCAGGTTGTTGTCAAGGTATAAGCCTAGGAATTTGCCCCCATTATTTCTGGTAATTAGAGTGTTGTCAATCTTAATGTTAATTTGTGCATCTCCTGCTCTGCTACCAAACATAATATAGTAGGTTTTGTCAGTGTTAAGCGTAAGTTTATTGGCTGTCATCCAAGTCGATATTTTGATCAGCTCCTCATTCACAATGGTGTTGAGGGTGGCAAGATTAGGGTGAGAGATGACATAAGTCGTGTCGTCAGCAAAGAGAATGGGTTTCAGGTGTTGGGATACGTTTGGAAGGTCATTGATGTATATGAGGAAGAGCAGGGGACCAAGGACACTTCACTGCGGAACTCCAGTATCAAGTGGCCGTGTTGCTGATGCTGTGTCTTTAATGGTGACGTACTGATACCTATTAGTAATGTAAGATTTGAAATAAGCAAGCGCATGGCCTCTTATACCGTAATGATCAAGTTTGTGGAGTAGATGTCGTGGTCTACTGTGTCAAAAGATTTTCTTAGGTCAATAAAAATTCCTAGTGGATATTCCTTATTTTCCAATGCTGTGTAAAGCAGATCTAGCATTTTTATGATTGCATCATTAGTGCTTTTATTTTTCCTGAATCCAAATGGCAGGGTTTATATGTTTTGAGCCTTTATAAATGAATACAGTCTCCTGTGCACGAGTTTCTCAAAGATTTTGGATAGCAATGGTAAGTTAGATATTGGCCTATAGTTGTTTAAGTCTGTAGGGTCACCACCTTTATGTATTGGTGTAACCCTTGCCATCTTGAGTAGTTTCGGGAAGGTGCTAGTCTCTAGTGACTTGTTAAAAAGTAATGAAATAGCATGCGAAAGGACATGGGCCGCTCGCTTGTACAGTAATGGTGGTACACGAGACAGATTCCCCGAGTTATTTTTAAGTGACTTTATAATCTCGGTGACTTCCGTGGGCTCAGTTGGTGCAAGATAGAAGGAATTAGGGAAATTCCCATCTAGGTAGTCCCCGGCATGGGCATTGGTATGTGGGATTTTACTGGCGAGATTAGATCCTATGGTTGAGAAGTCGTTTATCTTGTTAGCTGTGTCAGTGGGATGTAGTGGTGTTTCATTAGGTTTAGTTAGGACAATATTCTTGTTTTTTTTCAGTTTGTGGGTCCCTAGAATCTGAGAGTGTTTTCCAGGTCTTTTTTATATCTCCTTTAGTGTCTGTGAATCTATGGAGTAGTATAGTTGTTTGGGCTTTCTTTATTACTTTGGTGAGAGCTGATGAATAGTGTTTAAGAATATCTTTGTGTATTAAGCCCTGTCTATATTGCTTTTCATATTGGTGTTTCTTGTCAATGGATTCAGAATGGTGCAGGTTAGCCATGGCAACCAAGCCGTTTGTTTTGTGATCTGTTTTGTTTTTATAGGACAATGTTTGTTGTATAGTCTAAGTAATTTGTTAAGAAAAATGTCTGTCTGGTCATCAATACCATTGGCCTTGGAGAATTCTGTAGGCCAGTCAACAGTCTCTAGGTCAGCTGTGAACTTCCTTACTGAGGCCTCGTCATGGAGTCTAAATGAGACTTTGTTGTATTCAAGTGGTGGTTTACTAATGTTTGTCAGGAGGAAGGTAGGGTAGTGGTCTGTAGTGCTATCTGTGATTATCCCTGATTTAAGGGGGGCTAGTATATTGGTCCATATGTGGTCTATTATGGTTGCACTTGTCTCAGTGAGCCTGGTTGGTTTAGTTATTGTTGGTATGAGAAGTGTGTTGTTCATATTGTTGATGAAATCTAGTAAGCCAAGGTTGATGTTGAAGTCTCCAGCTAAGAGAAGGTGGTGCTTATTCATTTGTCTGTTTGTTATTAGTGACTTTAATTTCTCACTGAAATTTGGGATGTTTGTGTGGGGTATCCGGTAAATGGCACCGATTGTTATAGGCGTCTTAAGGATTTTTACAGTAAAATTAGCAAAAAATTATTCCCCATATTCATCACTAAAACAAGTGGTGCTAAGACAAGATAATTGGTTAGAGTAATAGATTGCAATACCACCCCCAACTTGGTTTGGTCTGCAGTTGTGAATTGCTGTGTATCCTGGTAGAGGGTAGATATCTATTGTGTCCTGCTTAAGGCAGGTCTCAGTAAGAATAATGCAGGAGAAGGGTGTCTTTAGTGATTCAAGGAGTGCTAGGAGGTCATCATAGTGTTTGCTTAAGGACCTGATGTTGTAGTTAAGTACTGATAGACATTTAGCATTGTTTAGGATAGTGGTGGCTTGTGATGCTGTGTAATAAAGGCAGTTACTTTCCAATAGGTTTTGATTGGGTGTCAGATTATGGAGGTTTAGATCAGGGTCAACGTGATCAATCATCTTCTAGGTTTAAATTATGGTTATTTATTTCCTGAGTTGTGTGTTGAGTTCTAGTACTGATATCTGTAGTGGTAGGAAGTTTGGACAAGTATATAGCTAGAGTATTTTGGTCATGTAGAGTATAGTCACTACTACACATAATGAAGTTGATGTTGTCTATGTGTTGTGCTGGAATGAACTAAAGTACAACTAGGTATAAACTAGTAATATAAAAATACAAATTAAAAATAGAACAAGACTCTCACTCTCACTCTCTCAGGTCTCTCACATTAGACTTAGGCTCCATTGATTGACTTGAGGTTGTCTTGTACTCCGATCCTGTTTTTATTTTCTCAATCTTTCTGTAACGTAGTAACCGAAATTTGTCCTCATTGTATATCATTGTCAGTAGGCCACTGAAGGACTTGGCTGGTATCAGATTGGTGGCTCTTTGTATCTAGTGGATACCATTTTCATACGGATGCTAGTATTGTTTGCAAAGGAATTAATTTTAGTTAGTAATAATAGTTGTTGTCTGTAAGAAGTCTTATGCTTCAGGTGGGTGTGTGACGGGGTCTGGCTGTCGCAAGTGTCCCGCTAACAGCTACACACTGGCTGCTGATGGCTCCATGTTGTGCTGCCCTGGCTGTACCTCTACCCTCCAGCATGGAGAATACCCTAGCAAGTGGTGCGTCTGCTACTCGGGTCAGTACTCAGTTTCTAACCCCAACTGTTTCAGTAGATACAAAATTACCGTTATAAATCTAAATTGTGTTGACTATGTATTAGAGTATAAGAATAAGTTTGTAGAGCCAATGCAAAACAATTTACTCCCCATGTGAAAATAATATCAGTATATGTATTTTGTTTTTAAACATACGATATCTGTGTCTAGCATTAGGAATAATAGGAGAGAAGTAAATAATGAAAATGAATGTTACAGGAATGCATCTGGAAGCCTGAGTAGATCTATAATCCACTATGATAACATGAACGTAAATAAGTATGTTTATGGAGCAACGTGAACAGACTGAGTGAAGTTGTAGTGGCCAGGCTTAGACTTGGTTACAAGTACTTCTGGCAGTTAACCATTCCATGATATTAACAATGCAAGGAATTCGCAAGAGCAGGCGAAATATACACAAACACTGATCTCTGGCTGAAGGAGACTTGAACCTACGAACCTTGGAACAAGGTACGCAGTGCTTTACCAATCTACCCACACTGGACTGATGCATGCAGGGGATGAGATGAAAAGCTGTAAGCCTTCTCCCAGAAAGCTGGCTGCCTTGGATCAAAGTCTAGCGCAAGCTGAACTCCAGTGTGGGTAGATTGGTAAAGTACTGCGTACCTTGTTCCAAGGTTCGTAGGTTCGAGTCTCCTTCAGCCAGAGATCAGTGTTTGTGTTTATTTCGCCTGCTCTTGCGAATTCCTTGCATTGTTAATATCTCTAGTAAGGCTGATGCATGCAGGGGATGAGATGAAAAGCTGTAAGCCTTCTCCTTGAAAGCTGGCTGCCTTGGATCAAAGTCTAGCGCAAGCTGGACTCCAAGGTATTGGTCCAGTGTGGGTAGATTGGTAAAGTACTGCGTACCTTGTTCCAAGGTTCGTAGGTTCGAGTCTCCTTCAGCCAGAGATCAGTGTTTGTGTATATTTCGCCTGCTCTTGCGAATTCCTTGCATATATATATATATATATATATATTAATGTCGTGCCGAATATGTAAAACTGGTCAATTAGCAAGAACTCGTTTAAAATTAAGTCCTTTCTAAAATTTTCTCTTATACGTTTAAAGATATATTTTTTCATTAATGTTGATGTAAAAATTTATAATTTTGCACCAAGAGGAACTTAGAAAACTTACCTAACCTTATTATAACAAGAACAATTTATTTTAGCCTAACCCAACTAAATATATTTTAAATTTGTTTACAATAATTTAATACTAAACAAACACAGTGAAATATATTTTTTTTCGTTAGGTTCAGAATGATTTTGGCCAAATTATTGCATACACAAATTTTCGCTTGTCTTATATAGCAAGATGAGCGTTGCTATTTAAGCCAAGATGGCAAGTTCTGCCTATTCGGCACGACATATATATATATATATATATAATGTCGTGCCGAATAGGCAGAACTTGCCATCTTGGCTTAAATAGCAACGCTCATCTTGCTATATAAGACAAGCGAAAATTTGTGTATGCAATAATTTCGCCAAAATCATTCTGAACCTAACGAAAAAAATATATTTCACTGTGTTTGTTTAGTATTAAATTATTGTAAACAAATCTAAAATCTGTATAGTTGAGTTAGGCTAAAATAAATTGGTCTTGTTATAATAAGGTTAGGTAAGTTTTCTAAGATTCTTTTGGTGCAAAATTATAAATTTTTACATTAACATTAATGAAAAAAATATATCTTTAAACGTATAAGAGAAATTTTTAGAAAGGACTTAATTTTAAATGAGTTTTTGTTAATTGACCAGTTTTACATATTCGGCACGACATATATATTAGGTAGTAGGTTGGTAGACAGCAACCGCCCAGGGAGGTACTAACGTCCTGCCAAGTGAGTGTACAACGAAAGCCTGTAATTGTTTTACATGATGGTAGGATTGCTGGTGTCCTTTTTTCTGTCTCATAAACATGCAAGATTTCAGGTACGTCTTGCTACTTCTACTTACACTTAGGTCACATTACACATACATGTACAAGCATATATATACACACCCCTCTGGGTTTCCTTCTATTTTCTTTCTAGTTCTTGTTCTTGTTTATTTCCTCTTATCTCCATGAGGAAGTGGAACAGAATTCTTCCTCGGTAAGCCATGCGTGTTGTAAGAGGCGACTAAAATGCCGGGAGCAAGGGGCTAGTAACCCCTTCTCCTGTACATATTACTAAATTTAAAAAGAGAAACTTTTCTTTTTGGGCCACCCTGCCTTGGTGGGATACGGCCGGTGTGTTGAAAGAAAGAATATATATATTCTTTCAACACACCGGCCGTATCCCACCGAGGCGGGGTGGCCCAAAAGGAGAAACGAAAGTTTCTCCTTGTACATACAGGAGAAGGGGTTACCAGCCCCTTGCTCCTGGCATTTTAGTCGCCTCTTACAACACGCATGGCTCACGGAGGAAGAATTCTGTTCCACTTCCCCATGGAGATAAGAGGAAATAAACAAGAACAAGAACTAGAAAGAAAATAGAAGAAAACCCAGAGGGGTGTGTATATATATGCTTGAACATGTATGTGTAGTGTGACCTAAGTGTTGTAAGTAGAAGTAGCAAGACGTACCTGAAACCTTGCATTTTCATGAGACAGAAAAAATGACACCAGCAATTCTACCATCATGTAAAACAATTACAGGCTTTCGTTTTACACTCACTTGGAAGGACAGTAGTACCTCCCTGGGCGGTTGCTGTCTACCAACCTACTACCAACAATATTATGAACTTCATTTACCATGACTTTAATATGCAGAGAGTGCGTCCCCTGGCAGTACTACAGCGAGGAATGGTGTTGATTCCAGGACGAAGCAACCTGTGCCCTCCAGTCTGGAGTCCAGGATTCTCTCCAGCAAAAATGATGCTGTAGATGTCCTGAGTGATCCTCTGGCATCTCCTTCAGAAGGTTCTGTTAGCGATGCCGTCTACATCCTTAATCAGGGTGGCCACTCTGCCGTAGGTGAGTTATATTAATTAATATAAGAACATAAAGAAGGAACACTGCAGCAGGCCTACTGACCCATGTGGAGCAGGTCCATGTCCCCCCCCCCGGATTAGACAAATAACCCACCCCCCGGATTATCCCAATGACCCACCCAGTCTGGTCATCCCCACTCAAGGATGGAGCACTGTACCAGACCCAGCAGCACAAGCTAGTCAGTACAAGCTAGTCAGGTCCAACTCACACCCACCCACACCCACTCATGTATTTATCTAACCTATTTTTAAAACTACACAACGTTTTAGCCTCAATAACTGTACTCTGGAGCTTGTTCCACTCATCCACACCTCTATTACCAAACCAGTGCTTTCCTATATCCTTCCTGAATCTGAATTTTTCCAGCTTGAAACCATTGCTGCGAGTCCTGTCTTGGCTGGAAATTTTCAGCACACTATTTACATCCCCTTTATTTATTCTTGTTTTCCATTTATACACCTCGATCATATCCCCCCTAATTCTACGCCTTTCGAGAGAGTGCAGATTCAGGGCCCTCAGTCTATCCTCATAGGGAAGATTTCTGATACATGGGATCATCGTTGTCATCCTCCTTTGTATGTTTTCCAGAGCATTTGTATCCATTCTGTAATACGGTGACCAGAACTGAGCAGCATAGTCTAAATGAGGCCTAACCAAGTGTGGAAAATACTGTATATATTTTCTGGAAATACGGTAATTTATAGGTAAATAGATCCCCTATATTGTATTTTTAAAAGAAGTATATTATGGAAAATGGGAAACTAGACCTGCGCAGACAGGAGAGTCGCCATTTTGTTTGAATGGAGTAAGACGTTAATAATGTGAAGAATTTTTGTGCTCTAGAGGTTAAAATTGGGTTGACACCTCTCAAATTGTTGGATGTGCATTCCTGCATAATTTGAGAATCAGGCGACTGGACAAGACAACTCCAGGAACCCCAGCTAAGTCATGTCTATATTATGCTTATAGTTCTGGCTAGCGTGGCCGTGACGAACTCTAGCTAGAGTTCGTCACGGCCACGCTAGCTGGAGATTCGTCTGTAAAAACTTGCATTTGTGGTCACAGTGGTGCCTGTGCTAACCTTCCTATGGTGTAGAAATATACCTAGTTGGATGAATGTTATTGTGGCTAGCTGGTTTAGTGGCTAACGCGACGGGCTGGAGTTTTGAGACTCTATGACCGCGGGTTCAATCCCGGCCGGGGGTATGGTTTGTTTGCAATCGTGTCATTACGATTTCTTGAGTCATGAAGCCAAGAATTCTGTTAGCTTTATTGCGAACACTAATGCACTGTTGTCTTGGTTTTAGATTACTGCTAACCAGAACTCCTAAATCCTTTTCGCAATCGGTAGTATTAAGATCTACATTATTTAGTTTATATGTGGCATGGTTATTTAACTGTCCAACATTTAGAACTTTGCATTTGTCAATATTAAACCGCATCTGCAACTTCTCCGACCATTGCGTCAGTCTATTCAAATCATCCTGGAGTGCTCTAATGTCCAGAGATTTACGCATTATTATGGTAGTGCCTGAATAAAATTATAATAATCATAAAGTTTTAGATCTTTATGGTTCATTCAGTGTGACTAAATAATTTTTTTCTTTTTAGATCGTTTTGGGAGCAGCAGCACCTTACCAGTGCCGGTGGCGGTGCAACAAGCTCTCACCATGATGGCTGAAGCAATAGAGGCTCTTCATGTAAGACTGACTAGGTTGGAGAACATCATCTTACATAGCCCAGGTCAGTGCATCAAGTACGAGTCATACAAGACAGATGGATAGCTGGGGTATGCCAGAGCATGTCATGCTTCCTCCCACGGTCATCTTGCTTTTAGTCCAGGCTAGACCTGGTATATTTTTACCTGTCACTGCTTGTTTCTTCCCCATCCCCTCCTCACTAATACTGTACTAAAAAAAAAACTAATTGAAATGAGTTACGGGAAAAAATTAAGAAAACTGAAACTGGTGTCATTATTACCTGGACCTGGAGTTTACCTGGAGAGAGTTCCGGGGGTCAACGCCCCCGCGGCCCGGTCTGTGACCAGGCCTCCTGGTGGATCAGAGCCTGATCAACCAGGCTGTTACTGCTGGCTGCACGCAAACCAACGTACGAGCCACAGCCCGGCTGGTCAGGAACCGACTTTAGGTGCTTGTCCAGTGCAAGCTTGAAGACTGCCAGGGGTCTGTTGGTAATGCCCCTTATGTATGTTGGGAGGCAGTTGAACAGTCTCGGGCCCCTAACACTTATTATATGGTCTCTTAACGTACTAGTGACACCCCTGCTTTTCATTGGGGGGATGTTGCATCGTCTGCCAAGTCTTTTGCTTTCGTAGTGAGTGATTTTCGTGTGCAAGTTGGGTACTAGTCCCTCTAGGATTTTCCAGGTGTATATAATCATGTATCTCTCCTGCCTGCGTTCCAGGGAATACAGGTTTAGGAACCTCAAGCGCTCCCAGTAATTGAGGTGTTTTATCTCAGTTATGCGCGCCGTGAAGGTTCTCTGTACATTTTCTAGGTCAGCAATTTCACCTGCCTTGAAAGGTGCCTGGAGTTTACCTGGAGAGAGTTCCGGGGGTCAACGCCAACGCGGCCCGGTCTGTGACCAGGCCTCCTGGTGGATCAGAGCCTGATCAACCAGGCTGTTGCTGCTGGCTGCACGCAAACTAACGTACGAGCCACAGCCCGGCTGATCAGGAACTGACTTTAGGTGCTTGTCCAGTGCCAGCTTGAAGACTGCCAGGGGTCTGTTGGTAATCCCCCTTATGTGTGCTGGGAGGCAGTTGAACAGTCTCGGGCCCCTGACACTTATTGTATGGTCTCTTAACGTGCTAGTGACACCCCTGCTTTTCATTGGGGGGATGGTGCATCGTCTGCCAAGTCTTTTGCTTTCGTGTGAGTGATTTTCGTGTGCAAGTTCGGTACTAGTCCCTCTAGGATTTTCCAGTGTATATAATTATGTATCTCTCCCTCCTGCGTTCCAGGGAATACAGGTTTAGGAACCTCAAGTGCTCCCAGTAATTGAGGTGTTTTTCTCCGTTATGCGCGCCGTGAAAGTTGTCTGTACATTTTCTAGGTCGGCAATTTCACCTGCCTTGAAAGGTGCTGTTAGTGTGCAGCAATATTCCACCTAGATAGAACAAGTGACCTGAAGAGGGGTCATCATGGGCTTGGCCTCCCTAGTTTTGAAGGTTCTCATTATCCATCCTGTCATTTTTCTAGCAGATGCGATTGATACAATGTTATGGTCCTTGAATGTGAGATCCTCCGACATGATCACTCCCGGGCCCTTTGACGTTGGTGTTTCGCTCTATTTTGTGGCCAGAATTTGTTTTGTACTCTGATGAAGATTTAATTTCCTCATTTTTACCATATCTGAGTAATTGAAATTTCTCATCGTTGAACTTCATATTGTTTTTCTGCAGCCCACTGAAAGATTTGGTTGATGTCCGCCTGGAGCCTTGCAGTGTCCTGCAATGGAAGACACTGTCATGCAGATTCGGTGTCATCTGCAAAGGAAACACGGTGCTGTGGCTGACATCCTTTGTCTATGTCGGATATGAGGATGAGGAACAAGATGGGAGCGAGTACTGTGCCTTGTGGAACAGAGCTTTTCACAGTAGCTTCCCTCGGACTTTACTCTGTTGATGACTACTCTCTGTGTTCTGTTAGTGAGGAAATTATAGATCCATCGACCGACTTTTCCTGTTATTCCTTTAGCACCATTTTGTGCACTTTTACGCCAGGGTCACACTTGTCAAAGGCTTTTGCAAAGTCTGTATATATTACATCTGCATTTTTTTTGTCTTCTAGTGCATTTAGGGGCCTTGTCGTAGTGACCCAAATAGTTTGAGACAGACAGGAGCGACCTGTTCTAAACCCATGTTGCCCTGGTTGGGGTAACTGATGGGTTTCTAGATGGGTGGTGATCTTGCTCTTAGGCCCCCTTTCAAAGATTTTTATGATATGGGAGTTATGCTATTGGTCTGTAGTTCTTTGCTGTTGCTTTACTGCCCCCTTTGTGGAGGGGGGCTATTCTGTTGTTTTAGTAACTGTGGGACGACCCCCGTGCCCCATGCTCCCTCCATAGGAAGGGGAAAAGGCTCGTGATAGGGGCTTCTTGCATTTTCTTAAATGAACACAGAGTTCCATGAGTCTGGCCCTGGGCAGAGTGCATGGCATGTCATTTATCGCCTTTCGAAGTCATTTGGCTTCGGGATAGCATCGGATAGGCTTGTTTTTAATCAAATTTTGTGGCTCTCTCATAAAAAATTCATTTTGATTTTCGACTCTCAGTCTGGTTAGCGCTTGCTTAAAACTGAGTCATATTGGACTTGGTAGCTCACTCATTTCCTTGCTGTCTTTCTGTGTGGGAAACCCATCTTGTTTAAGTAAGGGCCCAATACGGACGTTGTTCTCGATTTTGATTTTGGCATAGGAGAAGAAATAACTTTGGGTTTCTTTCGTTTTCATTTATGGCTTTTAGTTCTTCCCGCGATTCCTGACTCCTAAAGGATTCTTTTAGCTTAAGTTCGATGCTTGCTTTTTTCTCTGACCAGTGTCCTCCCTACGCATTTCAGATATATTGACCTCTTTTAAACCGCTCTGTTATTCTTTTCCGTCGCCTGTAAAGGGAGCACCTGTCTCTTTCTATTTTTCATCTACTCCTCCTTTTTCTTAGAGGAATAAGCCTTGTGCATACATCGAGTGCCACCGAGTTAATCTGTTCTAGGCATAAGTTGGGGTCTGTGTTGCTTAGTATATCTTCCCGCTTATATCGGTTAGGACTTGGTTTACTTGGTCCCACTTTATGTTTTTGTTATTGAAGTTGAATTTGGTGAATGCTCCCTCGTGACAAGTCTCATTATGCCGGTCTGGGCTCCACCCAACATGTCTGAAAACCCCAATTATGTTGTGATCTGAGTATATTTTTTTTGATATGGTGACATTTCTTATCAATCATCATTGTTAGTGAAGATGAGTCTAGTTTATTCTTCCGTCTAGTAGGCTCTATTATTTGCTGGTTTAAATTGAATTTTTGTGCAGAGATTTAAAAGCTCGTGTGAGTGTGAGTTTTCATCAAGCTGCCTCCTGGTGTTATTACTGCAACAGTATTATTTGCTATATTCCTCCATTTTAGGTGCCTTAAGTTGAAATCCCCCAGGAGCAAGATGTTGGGTGCAGGAGCTGGAAGATTTTCCAGACAGTGGTCAATTTTTAACAGCTGTTCCTGGAATTGCTGGGATGTTGCATCCGGAGGCTTGTAGACTACCACAATGAGTAGATTTTGGTTCTCGACCTTTACTGCTAAAACTTCCACTACATCATTTGAGGCATTAAGCAGTTCTGTGCAAACAAGTGACTCTGCAATGTACAGGCCAACCCCCCCCTTTTGCCTGTTCACTCTGTCACATCTGTATAGGTTGTAACCTGGGAGCTGTATAGCCCTTGTGGCTTAGCGCTTCTTTTTGATTATAATAATAATGTAACCTGGGATCCATATTTCGTTGTCCAAGTGATCCTTTATGCGTGTCTTAGTGAAAGCCGCGAACATTGCCTTTGCCTCTGCAAGCAGTCCACGGATGAAAGGTATTTTGTTGTTTGTTGCTGGCTTTAGACCCTGTATATTTGCAAAGAAGAATGTTATCAGACTGGTGGTATTGTTGGTACTGGGGGGGGGGATTTTTTTTCCGGCATTAGTATCTGTATCTGTTGGTTTGGAGTGGAGGCCATCGACTGTGGTTCCACTCCAGGAATGACTGGATTTGGTGTACGATTTCTGCCATTTCCTGCCAGTTTTTTTCCTTCCTGGCACTAAAAAACCTCTCCCTCTTGAGTGGCTGTGGCTACCCAGGTTTTCCCATGGCCTGGATGTTTTGTATCTTTTTGTCCCCTTTAGATGGTATGCCTGGCAATTTAAGTTATAGCACAGTCTTTCCTGTACTGAAGAGGTACACAGTTCAGGGTGAAAAAGCTTACAGGAAGGGAGTTTGCATTTTCCTGTTGTCATATGGGCATGGCATTTTCTAGGGTGGTCATAGTTGCATGTCCCATCTGTTTTTCCAGATTTCCCATGCCAGCAGATACCAAGTGCATAGTATGTGCACAGGCTTGGTTTCCGTTTGCCTTGGGTTTCTGTGACTGTATTCCCTGTTGGTGCATGTTTCCCTGTCTTACTTCTATCATCCCTAGCACCAACAATGGAGCTCCCACCAGTTGTTTTTGGTAATATATCCTCACTATTTGATAGGGGCTTCTTGCAGTTCTTGATGAACACAGGGTTCCACGAGTCTGGCCCTGGGCCATTATTATAATCAAAAAGAAGCGCTAAGCCACAAGGGCTATACAGCACTGGTGTCATTAGAGAATAGAAGGAACAGGGAACATACAACCATGACGTGTCAGATACTAAGAGGATGTCATATAAAGAATGAATTGTGCAGGAAACAAGAACAAAAGTCAGACAAGATTTGGCTATCAAAGTGAAGGACTAAAGGTCCCTGTGATTTTTAGTGATTTTTGTCCATTTCAGAGCACCAAGGGACTGTCTGGTCAATCTCCTTTTATCGGCACAGAATAGTTCAAGCAGGTTGTTGACTGCGTAAGGTATCCAGTTATACAGTGCCTGCGATTCCTCAGATGGTAAATGCATGCAGTGATTATGACTCAGCGGGTAATGTTTTTTTAATCCAATATGACATTTGTAAATGCTCTTGCTTTCAGACCTGCAGCCTAGTGGAAGTGTGAACCGATTGGGGACAGCTTCGCCAACCTCAGCCCCGCAGTCAACTGGGGGAGTGAACCAGGTGGGGTCAACTTCACTTCCTACAAGCCTACATCCTAGTGGGAGTTTGAACCAGATGGGAACAGCCTCACCCCCCTCAGAAGACTCCTGTCTGGCCTCCAACTTCACCCGTATTGGTGACAGGTGCTATCACTTCTCTGTGTGGCGTGGCCTTCGTTTACACTGGAAGGTATTGTCAACTGTGCCAATTTGAATTACCTCTGGAGTGCTACACTTCACACATTCCCCTGTATATAACAACTTGCATCTTGCCCTGTGTAACTCCTTGCACATTGCCTTCAGTGTAATGTCTTGCACCTTTCCTTTTGTGTAATGCCGTACTCCTTCCCTTCGTAACACTTTACATGAACCCTTCTCTGTAACACCTTGCATGTACCCTTCTGTGTTACCTTGCACATTCCCTTCTATGCCACACCTCGAATCTTTCGTGATATGTCGCATCCTACACTTTACCTGTCGCTCCTCGCATCAACCATGGTATGTCACGTCTCAAAACACCCTGCTGTTTTGATAAATTAGACATGTGCAACTCTTGCAACATGTGCAACATGTCGGTTCTCTGAACCATTCATCTACACCCTGCTGTTTTGTGGAGATGAGAAAGGAAGCTCATTTATTTTAGCATTCATACAGCACCTGGGAAATGAGAGACAATCAGGCTTCATTTAAGGGAGGGGAGGGTAGTTTCAAATCCTTGAACCAAGAGCCCTTCGCTACCGAAAGCAGCAGTAGCTTTTGAATCCGTGGGCAAATCAGTTGGCATGACCATTTGATCCTGAGTTTGAACTCTGGGCAGGCAAGATGTATGATCAAATCTCACTACATGTAATACCCCTGTTCACTTAGTAAATAGGTATCAGGATGTTAGTTGTGGGTTGCACCCTGGGAGTGATAATATATTTTAGCTAGGGGTGGGCTTTAAAAAGGATACTCTTTAGGGAAGGGGGTGGGGGTACCATAATGCTGGTGAGGCTCTTGGACCAAGAAATTGTAGTAACCCTACTCTTTCTTGGATCAAATATGATTACCACCTATTCCCCAGACACTGTATGATCCTTACATTTCAGCTCTTCCCCAAGCATAACACAGTATATTCATATTGAAGCAATAAACTGGTAGGGGTTATACAGCACATGAGAGGCAATCACGTATGAGCCAAGGAAATGCATAGCTTGGAGTCCTTGCATCAAGAACCCTTCACTAGCATTAATTCATAATGTTTAAATTCTGCTGTTACTGTCCAGACCTAGCACATAAATTAAGCATTTTATTTTATTTTTACAGTTTTTCACTAATTTGTTTATTGTAAAAAGTTTTCAAATGCAGATTTTTCCCTGTTAATTATTTTATAGTTTATAATTTGATTTTCAGGATGCAAGTGACTCGTGTGAAACTATGGGAGCCAAGCTAGCTGAACCCATAACCAGGAGTGAGTTTGTGGCTCTCACCCAACACCTCTCTTCCTCTGCCTCTGTCATAGGTAGGTCTCCAACACTGTCTTACTACCTACAACAGGTGGATCCTATAACCACTGTTTTTGTTGCTTCTGGTACAGGAATGAGGGATGGAACTCGAACTTCTGTATTGCCTTTTATCCTTCCTGGTTTGACCTTGTATCAACCATAGGATCTAATCTCGCCAATAAAATCCCACATACCAATGCCCATGCCGGGGACTACCTAGATGGGAATTTCCCAAATTCCTTCTATCTTGCACCATCTGAGCCCACGGAAGTCACCGAGATTATAAAGTCACTTAAAAATAACTCAGGGAATCTGTCTCATGTCCCACCATTACTGTACAAGCGAGCGGCCCATGTCCTTTCGCATGCTATTTCATTACTTTTTAATAAGTCACTAGAAACTAGCACCTTCCCGAAACTACTCAAGATGGCAAGGGTTACACCAATACATAAAGGTGGTGACCCTACAGACTTAAACAACTATAGGCCAATATCTAACTTACCATTGCTATCCAAAATCTTTGAGAAACCCCTGCACAGGAACTATATTTATTTATAACGGCACAAAACATACTCAACCCCTGCCAATTTGGATTCAGGAAAAATAAAAGCACTAATTTATGCAATCATAAAAATGCTAGATCTGCTTAACACAGCATTGGAAAATAAGGAATATCCCCTAGGAATTTTTATTGACCTAAGAAAAGCTTTTGACACAGTAGACCACGACCCTTTCCCACTCCACAAACTTGACCATTACGGTATAAGAGGCCATGCGCTTGCTTATTTCAAATCTTACCTTACTAATAGGGATCAGTATTCACCATTAAAGAAAACAGCATCAGCAACATGGCCACTTAAAACTGGAGTTCCGCAGGAAGTGTCCTTGGTCCCCTGCTCTTCCTCATTTTACATCAATGATCTTCCAAACGTATCCCAACACCTGAAAAACCCCTTCTTTGCTGACGGGCAGGACTTATGTCATCTCTCACCCTAATTCTTGCCACCCTCAACACCATTGTTAACGAGGAGCTGATCAAAATATCGACTTGGATGACAGCCAATAAACTTACGCTTAACACTGACAAAACCTACTATATTATGTTTGGTAGCAGAGCAGGAGATGCACAAATTAACATTAAGATTGACAACACTCTAATTACCAGACATAATGAGGGCAAATTCCTAGGCCTATACCTTGACAACAACCTGAATTTCAGCACCCATATCCAACATATAACCAAAAAAGTATCCAAAACGGTTGGGATTCTCTCCAAGATACGATACTACATGCCGCAAACTGCCCTTCTCACACTATATCACTCGCTTATTTATCCATACCTCACCTATGCTATTTGTGCTTGGGGATAAATTGCAGCAACACACCTAAAGCCAATAATAACCCAACTAAAAGCTGCAGTAAGAATAATCACTAAATCCCATCCCTGGCAACACCCCCCCCACTCTTCATACATCTAAACTTACTCCCTGTTCAGTACATCCACACTTACTACTGTGCAATCTACATCTACAGGGCCTTAAATTCTAATATCAACCTTGACCTAAAACGCTTTCTTGATAGTTGTTACAGAACCCACAGGCATAACATCAGACACAAACATCTCTACGACATTCCCCGTGTCCGACTAAACCTTTACAAAAATTCAATGTATGTCAAAGGCCCTAAAATCTGGAACACCCTACCTGAGAACTCTAGAACTGCAGACACATTCATCACCTTCAAAACTACCATTAGAAAACATCTTATCTCCCTGATACAACCCGTCAACTAAGTACAACGAATACCACCTGGCGGTTCACACTTACACTCACTCACCCATTTGACCATAAACAGAAATATTAATCTCAATCTTAAAATAATGAAACCTGTGATACTCCAATACTGAAACTATGTACTGTGCCAAAACAAAAGCATTCACATTGCTAAACTCACAAACTAGTATTTAGTCACTTAGCCATAATACAAACTTACCTCATAATTTGTAATATTTTAAAATTAAGAATTAAACTAAGTCTGCCCGAAATGCCTAGCCATGCTAGGTGTTCTAGTGGTACACTCTGTAAACATTATTTTACTACATGCAAACCACACAATAACCAAATTCTGTAAACTCAGCATTGTAATCCTTATAGAGAAACTTTGAATTTGAATTAAGAAAAAAGTGCATTATTTTACTGTGTGCAGCATTACTAATCTTGGTATTGTGCCTTTTTTTTATTTATTACTAATCTTGTTGCCTGTTTCCTTATTTAGGCATTGTCCATCTTTCAAATAACTTTACCTGGTGTTTAACTGGAGAGAGTTCCAGGGGTCAGTGCCCCCGTGGCCCGGCACAATACCGGATGTTGTTCTCATCCTTGATTTGGCATAAGAAAAGAAATACTTTGGGTTTCCTTCGATTTCATTTATGGCTTTTAGTTCTTCCCGTAATTCCCGACTCCTAGAAGATTCCTTTAGCCTTAGTTCGATGTTTGCTATTTCTCTGACCAGTGGCCGGTGGCCTGGGGCTAAAGCTCCCGCTTCACACACGGAGGGCCCGGGTTCGATTCCCGGCGGGTGGAAACATTTCGACACGTTTCCTTACACCTGTTGTCCTGTTCACCTAGCAGCAAATAGGTACCTGGATGTTAGTCGACTGGTGTGGGTCGCATCCTGGGGGACAAGATTAAGGACCCCAATGGAAATAAGTTAGACAGTCCTCGATGACGCACTGACTTTCTTGGGTTATCCTGGGTGGCTAACCCTCCGGGGTTAAAAATCCGAACGAAATCTTATCTCTTATCTTATCTTACAGAGACCTTTAATGTTGTCTAGGATTAAGCAGTGTAGGTGAATATTTTGCGATTAGCTTTCTTAATTTTCTGCCATAGTTAACTGCAAATTATCAAGTCCTCTGATATATTTTTATTGATATTTCAGTTTTGATAGAACTAGTGTATATATGCAATTACTTGCAATTTGTTGAAATGCAAAATTTTTATATTCAAGGGGAATGTGGTAAGTCCATAAGGGTCATATAGTGACTGGGGATTGGGAGGAATCAAGTTTATTCTGAGAAAGAAGTGTAGCTCTAATTTCTTTGTATCTGGAGCCCTTCACAGATATCAGTGCACCCTCCCTGAAAGGGCTACAGTATTAGCATTAAGGCCCCAAAAGCTGTGGCTAACTAGGCATTATGTGCACACGATTTATTATTCATGATTTCATTTTGCTGACAAAAATAATTTATTTAATTCTGAAATATGCATTCAGTGAAAATGAAATAAAAAATACTTTTATAAGAATTATCATTGCTTGTTTCTTGTGTTTTTCATCCTTTACAGGATACAGTTACTGGATTGGTGGACTTTACCCAGGAATGTCATGGCGATGGGTGTATAATGGAAAAGAGGTAACCCTTGATCCTTTCTACTGGACGAGAGAGGATTCACTGGGACGGAAAGTGATCCCTGGGAACACGACTACTGGGCGCTGTCTCTCGCTCACATTCCAGGTCAAGGCCTCGGACTACTACTACTATGCAGACGAGTGTGGTTTTGAGAAATACTACATTTGTGAGCTGCTGGAGAAGATACACCAGAGACACTGAGCATCACTACTGGACTAATAGTAAATGTAATGGTAGTACAGTACTGTAGAGAGCTATTCAGTGGTACAAATGCTTATAAAATTTTAATGAGTAAGCGATAAACCCATAGGTCATGCAGTGACTAGGACGTGGAAGACCATCAGGTTTGTTCCAAGGAAGGGTAGCTCTAGTTCCTTGGATCCAGATCCTCTCACCAGTATCAAGATATGCCTAGAGAAATGTTTATAAATAATGACATTTATCTTAGTCACATGAAGGATACAAGCAATCATATAACCAGGATCAACCAAATACCAATACAGTATGTTTCCTGTCTTGTTCTTTGTGCCCCACAGAGATTTTCACTGAGGCTTCTGCATATCCTTTCTAGAGTATCCTGCACCTCTTCTGTTAGATGTAGTCTATATATAGTGTTACAACTGCTGTATCTTCCCTTAGTGAGGAACTTCATAGCTCAAGTAGTAGAGTATTTGACTCTCAGCCATAAAGTCAGGTCAAATCTTAGGTGAGGCTAGATGTATAAGCAAGTCTTCTGACACTTGCTGCCTGTATTACCTAAATGTAAATAACTCGTGGTTGCACCCTGGGTAATGTAAAACTGACCCCAATGGAACTAAGTTGCTCCTTGACTTTCTGGAGCTATCCTGGATTACTAATCCTCCAACACTGTATGACCCCCTCTTGGATTTAGCACTTAGGGTTAGTAATATTCTTTAACTTGTATTCGATTAGAGGCATTATTTTCTATGTAAGTGCTATAGGATATTTTATAAAAAATTGTTGACAGTCCCATGCTGGAGTATCTACCAGAGGGGCTATTTACACTTCCAGTAAGACTTTTGACCAAAGTATTGCATTTTGACTCGTATGGAAGGCTGAAAGTAACATTCTTTTAGGAGATAAGCCAGGAACTCAGCCACTGTAGCTAAATAAAGGGATTGAAAGAACTATTTTTAGACAAAAAGATAAGCACAGTAGAGCTTGCTCTTAACTTTTATTCATTTAGTTTTTTTTTTTTTTTTTTTTAACAATATTTTTTAAAAATGAAAAAAATGCACTGTTTCCTTAGTTTTCTTGTGTATCTTCTGTTGAACCTAAAATACATACGAGTAGCATAAATATGACAAAGAAAAATATTTTTTTACTATGAATTAATGGATATGTATTGCTAGGTTTCATGCTGTAAGGCAAGATGTTGCACTGGTTTTAGTGGTGGCAGGAACAGGATATACCAGTTCAAGTGGTCATAAGGCACAGAATGTAACCCACTTTTAAGTACGTAGTATGTCATGTACTGTCAGTCTCAGACTGGGCAAGTGATAAAATCCACTTGATCCACTTCAATTATGGTGGAAATATTTGCAGGTAACTTACAAGTATTTTGTATTATTAATAAACTGTTTAAATGCAGCCAATAAAATTTCACATGTGAAAAAGTATTTTATTGGATCATAAGTTGACTAACAAGTAATAACATTAAAAGTCGATACTTGCATCTACAATAAATATGAAATATACAATGTCACCCTTATATAATCTGTACACTTATATAACAGCTGTAAACAAATTGTCATGTTTTAACTGGATAATCTCACCAAGCACTATATTAAAACTTGAACAACACTGGCAGGTGCCTAGCTAGCCTTGCTCTCTATATTTTAGACGTGTGACTAATGGTGTCTACTTTGGCTGTGTTTATTCTTCCCTCAGACTACCATGCACGAATAGGATGTGGCAGATTCAAAACAGGAAGAGGGCCTGCAAGATGCTGGCTAAGTGACATCAGTAACTTGAGCTCTCACCCTGCAGCTTTAATAAGATGTTCCCAGCAACAGTAAGACCTCATAGTGAGCCTAATAACCCAGTTAGCACTTACTGGTGTACAACAGCAGTAGTAGTAGTACTGATCTGCCTCAGGGCACCCAGCGTCCTTCCCTGAAAATGAATATTTTTAAATGTCAAGCCTTGCTTTCAAGACTTTTGTGAATAGATGCCAACAGAGTGCATTAGATTGTGAATTTAGTTGCCTCTGGTGATATGTTGGTGCATATAATCATGGTGGGGCTGAGTGATCCTACTTTGGGGCAACAGTCTATAAATTATGAAAAGAACAGAACACTGGAAAACCTGGTTAAAAATGCTGCCCTGAGAAGCAGGTGGCCCCTCTACCAGCTCCCCTCCACCAATACTGGTGAAAAACCCATTCATTTGCACCAAGAAGAATGTACATAGAATGCAAGAATGGTTTAGGCAGTTTTTTTTTTAACTATGACATTTCACACCTCCAGAGACCCACTCTAGGTAATTTAGAGAACCCCACTATTTTCATCTGGCACCCAACATTAAACCATATGCATGTCATGCATCCAAACAATGGGAGACCAAGGTTAAGTAGCAGTTGGACAGTGAGGGGTGATACGACCCCTATAGGAAGGAGAGACCTCAAGTAATATGAAAGAATGACCAGATCTGGTGCACCTAAACACTTAAAACATATGCCTGCACCACTGGATGGTGTCCAATGTCTCCACAAGTACAAAACAGTTTCATTAAGTGGGGAAGGTACCAGTTCTGCTGCATGCCATGGGTGGAGTGCCCTGTGAGGATTATCTTTTAAACATCTTATGTAATGGTGACTTTGCATAATGTTTACAATAAAATGATCTGCTTACAAATTAATGAAGAGAAAAAATATATCCTTATCATATTTTATAAATACTCAATGATTAAAAAATTTCGAGACCAAATACTTTCAGATCAATGCATTGCCTTACTTTACATTATCACAGCTTATAAGGCAACAGGCTGACACTTATGAAGACTGGATTGCAAAAATAAGAGGCATTATTTTAACATAAGCATATTGTATCTTGAATTGACTCACTAGATGGTATCACACATTTCAAGTGCTGCATAAAATAGTCATTTCTGAGAGCCTGTTGACTCCAGTTTATTTCAGAACATCAGAGTTTCTCATTGCTTCTTTGACATGCAAAAAGAAAACCTTTGAGTTACTATTTGACAGGGAAAATTATAGTGTACCAAGACCCCAATTATGAAATGAACAAATAGAGGTTCCAAAGACAAGATATCACAAACTTGACTCTGATCCTGTAGCTACAAATAGGTAATAAGACTACAGTAATAGTAGCACTATCTCACATTCTACACAGGCACCAAACATGTTCTCAAATGTACAATATTTTACTTAAGTAGCCCTTAGTATTCATGTACTGTAATGAAAAGCAGTCTCGAAACATTTTGATCATAACCAGTAAATCTGTCCTGAGAAACTAATGTGGAGTTCTTAAACAACTTCAGTAATTTCTTCATAGATAATTCAAGAACTTGTGTGTAGTTATGGTACACATTTTATATATTACAGTGGACCCCCGGTTCACGTTATTAATCCGTTCCTGAGAGCTCATCGTAAAGCAAAATTATCGGAAAGCGAATCAATTTTCCCCATAAGAAATAATGGAAATCAAATTAATCCGTGCAAGACACCCAAAAGTATGAAAAAAAAAACTTACCACATGAAATATTAAGTTTAATGCAATAGAATAATCACAATAGAATAATTGACACTTACCTTTAATAAAGATCTGGTGATGATTGATGGGATGGGAGGAGGGGAGAGTGTCGAAGTTTTTAATGTTTAGAAGGGGAATCCCCCTCCATTAGGACTTCAGGTAGCAAGTCCTTTTCTGGGGTTACTTCCCTTCTTCTTTTAATGCCACTAGGACCAGCTTGAGAGTCACTGGACTTCTGTCGCACAACATAACTGGCAGCCTTACCATGCCTAATCACACTATGTATGCCACTACGATTCTTAAATCTTTCAAACCAACCTTTGCTGGCCTTAAATTCACTCACATCACCACTAGTTTGCAGGCATTTTTCTAATTAAATCCTCATGCAACTGCCTAGCCTTTTCACAAATGATCGCTTGAGAGATGCTATCTCCAGCTGTCTGTTTTTCATTTATCCACACAAATAACAGTCTCTCAACGTTTTCTAACACTTGCGATCGCTGTTTTGTAATCACAGTTGCACCTTTTGCAAGAACAGCTTCCTTGATTGCCATTTTCCTGCTCACTATAGTAGAGATGGTTGATTGGGATTTACTATACAACTTGGCCAGGTCCGACACACGCACTTCACTTTCATACTTTGCAATTATCTCTTTCTTCATTTCAATAGTCATTAGCACCCTTGGTCTCAATGGGTTGGCACTAGAAGCTTTCTTGGGGCCAATGGTGACTTACTTTGCAGAAACAAGCACCAAAAACAGTGATAATATGGATAATATGGAATGTACCGAATGTATCCTTAGATGCGCGCGCACTGGCTGGCTTGTAAACACTGGCACACATGGGGCAGTTCAGGCCACACGTGGACACGTCTCGTACGAATCGTATCGTGTACTGGGTATTGTAACGTGAACCGAGGCAAATTTTTTGCGATATAATGCTTCGGATACCGGATTTATCGGGTACCGATGACTTCGCAAACCGGGGGTCCACTGTATATTGGTTTGGCAACACGAGTAATAAACTGCATTGTTAAAGCAAATACCTCAGTGCTGTATGACCCTTGTGGGTTTAGTGCTTAGTTATAATAATAAAGCAAAGACCTATAAGTTTTACAAATTAATTAATATGGTAAACCCTTTAATATAGCAGTCCCTATGTAATGTATTTCAGATACTACAAAATATTTGATTGCACTAATTTAGTATAATGGACCACATCCACTGCCTGCTGTTGTGTCAGTGGTAGCAAGTGTCTGGTAGGCTTCCTTTACAACAGACCAATTCTGCTGTGTTGAATGTTTGTTAGTCATGAAAAATCAATTTAAAAATTTTGATGTAATGGACTTTTGGCTCATCATACAACCTCCTCTCCACTGTTGCACAGGATTTACAGTATTTGAGTGTAACTAGACCTTACCTCACTAGCCAGTAGACCTACTCAAGTTGTACTGTCTTATTTGGGCCAGTAGACCTATGTTTTTATTCTTCCCACATGTAATATGTAAATGCAGTGAAGCTTCTGATAAAATTCATCTGAACAAGAAACAGTGTCTAGTCCATCAGGTAAATTGATTTCAGATTTAATGGACAGTCTACAGAAATGCTAATTACTGTTCTCATCATTCAAAAATATCACTGTTTATTTACAGGACAGTTGGTTTTACTGGATACCCTCTCTTTCTTACTTGTCTGTTAATTAAAGGTTTTGCCATACAGTGTAACCTCTACTTGTGAGCGCATCCACATGCGAGTTTTTTCCAAATACGAGCAGTCGATTTGTCAATTTTTTGCTTCCATATGCGAGCAAAATTTCCATAAGTGAGCACACCTCTTGATCTAGGGAATTGTATCTTATTTGTTTGTTAGACTATCTTATTGAAACTTGGGCAATGTATGATGGAAAGATGCTTAACGTAATAATAATAATAAACATATGTATAATAATAGTAGTATAATATAATAGTGTACAAAAATAATAATATACAGTGGACCCCCGGTTAATGATATTTTTTCACTCCAGAAGTATGTTCAGGTGCCAGTACTGACCGAATTTGTTCCCATAAGGAATATTGTGAAGTAGATTAGTCCATTTCAGACCCCCAAACATACACGTACAAACGCACTTACATAAATACACTTACATAATTTGTCGCATTCGGAGGTGATCGTTATGAGGGGGTCCACTGTAATACGTATAATAATAATAATACATATATAATAATAATGTATTACATAATTATAATGATAGACTACTTCAAAAGGCCGTCGCTAGATGGCAGTGTTTACCACAACAAAGGGGGGCGGTTGTGGCCGCCTCCACCTATTACAAAGACATTTTACGCATTCTGGAGTATACATCAGGTTTCTATGTTATTTATATTGTTTATTATTTCATATTAGATGAACAGTGATAGATAAATAAGCCATAGAGTTGTTAACGAAATATTGAAGGAGTATTTTGTCCTGTGTCCAAACTCGTCGGCCGCTGCCGCTGCCACATATATAATGCCACATTTTATTCATTCTAGAGTATATATCAGGTTTCTATGTTATTTTTATTGTTTATGTCATATTAGATGAACAGTGATAGATAAATAAGCCATAGAGTTGATATTAGCGAAATTATTGAAGTACAGAATTCCACTGGAACGGCTTAATTGCATTTCAATTAATTTAAATAAGGAAAATTTACTGCAAATGAGCAAATCCAGTTGTGAGCAAGGCCATGGAATGGATTAAACTTGCAAGTAGAGGTTCCACTGTATACCAGTTCTTGGATGTGATCAGTTTATTGTATTATAATTTCTTATATTATACATTATTGTATTAATAAAACTTAGGGTACTGAAGTTGTTTGTTAAAAAATATCAGACAAGTGTTTGATGAGTAGTGGGGGGTGAAGCCATGCTAGGTGAAAATATAATTTTGGTAGAAAACACTATTAAAAATTACATTTTAGTTACACACTTATGAAGTTACACTGAAACAGTAGAGACAATACAGTGACAAGTTTAGTAGTACAGTACTACATGCAATGTTACACCCATGAGTGCACTTTACCAAGTGCATAGCAGTCAGAAAATTACAGCTTGTACAGGGCATCTGGAGTGGGTAGTCAGGTACATATGCCAAATAGTGCATTCAAGAGACCTACTGGCCCACACTGGGTTTCCTTTTCCTAGATGTATATGATGCAAATTACCAATGTGAACATATCACAATTTTGTTTTATAGTGTTAGTTTCATCATAGACGACTAAGCATCTAAGTTTCAATTTGTTTTCTTGAAACGGTAGCTTGACTGTCTTATGCTATGATGCTGGAATGGGCGTGTGGTGGTGTAAACTACAGTCTTGCCTGTGTTCGTGTACACAGTTCTCTGATGCAAACTCTGTTAAAGCCACCACAGGGGAATGCTGTCAACTTCATTCTTGAGTTCTGCAAAGGGTGTGGCAGTCCTTGTGATGTCTTGGAGGGTATGGGTTGTAACCACATCTACTCTGATGTTGGATTTGCATAGTACAGAGGTCACTGCGTTGGCTAAAGTGCTGGTACACAATACAGTATATATATTTATTTACAGTTGTTCAGGCTCTTGGCATTAAGGCATATCCCATCTACTTTGTGTGTATCATGGGGAGGTAATTGTAAAACCTTTTTCCAACATTATTACTTGACATCACTCGGTGTACAAGTTGCCTGCAGGAAGTAGTTAATGATGCACTGCCTTTTTTTGTATGTTCACCTCACTAGGCAAAAGGATATACCAAAACATACTGCAAGCCTAATAATAAAGATGACTTAATTTGTTTCTATCCACCATTAAAACCAAGGAGTGTTAACTGAATTTTTCCTATGGGTGTTTAGAATCTACAAAGACAACTTACCTCAGGATGATCAGGATTACTAAGCAAATAAATGCAACTTAAAATTCCCTCACAATGTGATATGATATGCAGATATGATAAACCTTAGTGCCAAAAGCTTATACCTATGTTGATCAAAAACATATATTGTCTATCAGTGCCACAGCCAACACACTGGCCCCTATACTATATAAATCCAACTCAACATTACTGTGAATACTACAAAACCCATTAGACCTCACAAGGACTACCACACCTTACACAGAACCCTAAGGATGCATTCTCTGTGGTAGATGTGGCCAGGTTTATATTGGAGAAACTGCTCATACAGGAACACAAGTGTGCCTGTAGAGGGGACGATGACTTGTATACAGCACCAGAACACAATTATCACTATTATTTAAAGAAAAATGACAGAATTAAATGCAGGTGTTTTGAGTCCTCTCAAACTAGCATCATAAAACAAAATTGTGATACATTACTCTGACTCCCATAGCAAGTCTTTAAAAAAAGGAAACCCAGCATGGACTAGTAGGCCTCCAGCAATGCTCTACTTGGCATATGAATAGCTGACTACCCATACCAGATACCCTATATCAGCTGTAATTTTTCTCACTGTGCTATGTACTCTAAGGCCCACTGGGTGGAGCACTACCATGAATGATTTCACTGGATCGTCTTTATTTTTACCACTTGCCTACATATTCTGTATAAAAAATCAGTTTGAAAAAATATCAAATATTTTTAACTCTGATTTACAAATTACTTAAAGCTACTGTAGATGCTGTATTATGAACTTTACCCGTTTAAAGCTTATTTCTTTCACGAACAGTTTTCATAGTAAGTTCTTACTTATGAAAAATCAAAATTCTAAATTGCAGAATTACATTCTTGGGGAGAGGGGGCAGGAAGGGCTAAATCCATAGGAGTCATACAGCACCTGCAGAAAATAGGCAATTTGGTTCAATCCTAGGAAGGTGCAGCTGGATTCAATTCCTTGGACTGAGAGCCCCTCACTGACATTTAAAGAACATCCCTTGAGGGGGCAGAATTTTTAAAGCCATAGTTTTTCAGTAGTATTGTTTTCAGGAATGTGTTTTAAATTAAAAATTTGCAACACAGTCACTGAAGGGTGATTTGAGAAGAACCTACTTATTGCAGTGCTCCATCATGTTCTTGAGAGCACAGTATTTTGTCCAGTGATGCTATTCAATACCTGCAGGTCCCCAAGCACAGCTAGGGGTCACACTGTTCTACTCTTATATAATTTGCAGAATTGGTTACACTTTCCCAAATCTGGTACTGTAAATCTGATTACTGAGTTACTGTACCTGTGAGGTATTTTGGAAGACCCTGCAGGGTAAGATTTTTCATATTTCTAGTTTTAGTCTAATCTATGAATACAACTACAAAATGTTCCCTAAAGCCACATCATATATACATGTACAAGTTTTTGGCATTAAAACTGTAGTACACTTTCTTAGACCATGGTTGGTATACTACTTAGGGGAATTTCACTGTAGAGATTTTCATTGTTATTTTTTTGCATTCTTGGTACAGGTTTTGGAGGGCGGATGAGAGAGGATGATCCAGTGTCAGATCCTGAAGTTGATATTCTGATGATTGATTTGTGATTATCTGTTGTGGAGTCTTCATTATTACCACATTGCTTATTGCTACAATGACACAAGAAGTCTGCTTCATCCAAATGTCTCTTTTGCTCTCTCTTAAGTGCTCGAAGGGACTTTTTCTCACTAAATCTTTCTCTTGATCTGCGAGGTACCACCATGTAGCCATAGTAGTTTAACATTCCGGGATAATAACTACCATAGGGAAATTGATGTTCAGTGTCAAAAACTTTCAAAAGTTCAGCATTAACTTGACGTTTTCTATGTCTGACTGTAGGAGGAACAGGAAAATTTGATAAAGGAGAACTACAAATACTAGTTAACGAGCCTTCTGTTGAGAGGGAGCTTGAGTATGTTGACTCTGGTGATAAAGGTGATATTGGTCCTGACTGTCCTCTTGTCGATGCTACAGGAGTGGCTGTGGATGCCTCCTTTGTACTGCCACGTAACAGAATAAAAACCACGAAGATAATGGATGCAAAACAGAAAACTGCAGCCACTCCCAAGGTGATGAATAAGTAAAGACGACACTCTTGAGCTTCAATGGACTCCTGTTGGACCTCATCTGTAAAATAGTCGATTATAACTACATTAATCAGCATTTCTTGGAGCATTTGTTACTATAAAAATTAATGCAGAACAAAGCAAGTGTAAATTTTAGAGTTTGAGGGGTCATCTAAATTATGATATCAGCATGCTTCTGGGAAGTTAGTGATCAAGTGAATAACTGATTTTTTGGGGGGAAGAGGTCACCTTATTTCTGGGAAGACAGCTGGTGCATTGAACAAATCTCTGGTAACTGCTATGATTCAGGAATGCTGAACCCTTTTATGTTAAATACAATACACATGACAGTTGTGACAGTATTCTTACATTGTCATGATGAATGGATCTCCAAACAACTTACTTATATCTTGTACATAATGTTCTTATACTACATGGTGTATATAATGCACTTACACATGCTTTAGTGTATGCACCCCTCAAGGGAGGTTCCTTGATGCTGGTGAGGGGTTCTTGATCAAAGAAATTGGATACGTGCAGCAGTTCCTTGAATCAAGTCTGAATACATTCCATTCCCCCAGGCATTGTAGGATCTGTACAGTATGTATGTAAACTAATGACACCATGTACCACATACTTGATCCATTTCATTGGATCAAGAGCCCTTAATTAACATCAGGGTATCATCCCTCTTGAAGGCTGGCAAGGTTTTAGTCTTACTGACTGTACATGCATCACTTAATAAACTTTTTTTTAAATTGGAAAATTGCTTTACATGATGGTAGGATTGCTGGAGTCTTTTTTCTGCCTTGAACATACAGGGTAACAGGTACGTATATCTTGCTACTTCTACTTACACTTAGTAGACACCACACATGCATGTGCATGCTTATATATACATACACCCATCTGGGTTTTTCTTCTGTTTTTTAATAGTTCTTCATTTCCTCTTATCTCCATGGGGAGGTGGAACAGAATTCTTCCTCCAAGTCATACATGTCTTAAGAAGTGACTAAAATGCCGAGAGCAAAGGACTAGTAACCCCTTCTGTATAAATTACTAAATTTAAAAAGAAAAACTTTGTTTTTAGGTTACCCTGCCTTATTGGAATACGGCCGGTTCGTTGAAAAAAGAAATTAAACAGAAGTGCTAAACTCGTGACATTCTGCAGAGAATAGAAGTGGTTTGATCTCCTTTATGATGAATAAAGCTTGTACAACATTTGGGTATCTTCATTGCAGAAATGTTTGGGCAATGAAAAACCCTAAGTGTTGTGCATGTTTTATTCATCAATGCAAACAGTCTTTCAACTTACTAGGAATTTTGACTTTGACAGTCAAGTTCCTCTCCCAGTTGGTAGTATTCTCATGGCGTCTCTGGGAATGGCTGATGGATGTTGATGGCACTGTGGAGGTAGAGGTAATGACAGGGGGAGGGTAGGGAGGGCCCAAGGAGGGAAGTATACTTGAAGGCACAACTGTAGTGAAGCTCACCTCACTCAGTGCACGCTTTTTCCTTTTACCAAATCCCAGAAGATCATCATCCCCTGGTCCACAGTTTGTCTGAAGGAAAGAAAGTCTGTAATCACCAGTATTTCAAGAAATGGATTTAGTGAACAGGGTAACATTAAGTAGTGTATATAGAACATACTCTGAGTCAATCCTAACCATGATCTATTTAGATAAAGATTTTATTACTTTGCAATTGTGGGAACTTACTGGGAGACCAAATAACGCCCAAAAATGTTCCACGAATCATTTCACAGTACATAAGCTTTACAAGCCCTTAACACACACTTAGTGACCGTACAAAATATTTGATATATTTACCCTTCTAGGAAGGTTTAGGTAGGCATATACAGTAGTAACTAACCATAGATATAATTAATGTGGTCCTAGGAACTTAAAGGTAGGATTAGGCCTTTAATATAGGCATATAATAGCTAGGGAGAACTGGCAACCCAAAAATTCAAACGAAGAGGCAAACACCAGCTCTCAGTTGAAATTCAAACTCCAACACAGTAAGATGTGCCTTGTCAAACTGCTCGGGTTCCTACAAATACACTTGGCCTGGAGACGACATCTTAAGAGGCTTCCCAAAGTACTGTGGATATTCGCCTAGATCCAGGCAAACCCGCAGTGAGATAAGACCCCGGTTTCCTACCAGCACAGTTGGCCAACATTTCTGGGGAATCGTAGGTTGGGGTCATCTGTGAGTACATCCTTAACTCGTGTATAGCTAGGAATTTCTTACAAGAGCGGTAGTAACTGGAAATATGTTTTAAGAGCCACTTGTGAGCCTGGGTACTAATCTCAGCATGTCTGTCAGCAGTACTTGCCAGGGGCCACAGCTTACAAAGGGGCAGTTTGCACAGAAATTTCGAGAGCAATGTTTACAATATGTGATTAAAATTATGATGTTAAGTACAAAGCCACTAATATGCTAACAAATACTAATCACGAACTAGATATTGGTACCATATAACAAATGTGTTTGCCAATATTTTTGCAAATACAAGGTGCTGGTAAAAAGTTCCTGGACTGCTATGAAAAATAATTTAAACTTATCAGAGTACAAAACAAATTCTGGCCACAAAATAGAGCGAAGCACCAACGTCAAAGACCTGGGAGTGATCATGCCGGAGGATCTCACCTTCAAGGACCATAACATTGTATCAATCGCATCTGCTAGAAAAATGACAGGATGGATAATGAGAACCTTCAAAACTAGGGAGGCCAAGCCCATGATGACACTCTTCAGGTCACTTGTTCTATCTAGGCTGGAATATTGCTGCACACTAACAGCACCTTTCAAGGCAGGTGAAATTGCCGACCTAGAAAATGTACAGAGAACTTTCACGGCGCGCATAAACGGAGATAAAACACCTCAATTACGGGGAGCGCTTGGGGTTCCTAAACCTGTATTCCCTGGAACGCAGGAGGGAGAGATACATGATTATATACACCTGGAAAATCCTAGAGGACTATACCGAACTTACACACAAAATCACTCACTACAAAAGCAAAAGAACTTGGCAGACGATGCAACATCCCCCCAATGAAAAGCAGGGGTGTCACTAGCACGTTAAGAGACCATACAATAAGTGTCAGGGGCCCGAGACTGTTCAACTGCCTCCCAGCACACATAAGGGGGATTACCAACAGACCCCTGGCAGTCTTCAAGCTGGCACTGGACAAGCACCTAAAGTCAGTTCCTGATCAGCCGGGCTGTGGCTCGTACGTTGGTTTGCGTGCAGCCAGCAGCAACAGTCTGGTTGATCAGGCTCTGATCCACCAGGAGGCCTGGTCACAGACCGGGCCGCGGGGGCGTTGACCCCCGGAACTCTCTCCAGGTAAACTCCAGGTCTCCAGGTAAACAGGTATCTAGGCTTTGAGGTTCCACTACTTGGACCTGTTGTAACAAGACTTTGTCGCCAATACAAAGAAAGACAGAGCACTTAGAGTTGTGGCTGGGTTTCACCCCAGGTATGGTGCTAATGTTAAAATTGTGAAAATGATGTATCTTGCTTATATTAGATCATTGGTTGATTATGCTGCGCCACTACTTGCTCTTGTGTCTGACTGGAAGCTTGGAGGGCTGGAAAAACTGCAGAACGAAGCAATGAGGATCATTTTAGGATGCCCTCGTGCTGCCAAAATTTTAAATATGCAAAAAGAACTTGATATTCCAAGCATCAGAGATCGTGTTACTGAAAGAAATATCCTAATTGGGGTTAATATGCTCAGGCAAGGGCCCATTAAAAAACCCTTGCACAAAAGCCCTCCAAACTTTCCTCAGCACTGGTGAACACTCCTCCAGATGGATCGAAAAAACTGGAACCGACCCCGCATGAATCAGATACATGATCTATGTCAAGTAAGGAAACACGGCTCTTTCTCCGCTCATGGGATATTACCCCATTCCAAACTACCATTCCTCCATTTTCCCCCCAAACTACTTCTTAAATCACAACCAAAACTTCGCTTGAAGCCAAACATGATGCCTTAGCTGTATTGATAACTTAGTCAAAACAGCACACACTCTCGCAAATTATTTTCGTTGATGGTTCTGTTCACCAGTCCACTGGTGCAGCTGGTAGTGGCTGCTGTTGTCGACAGGGTGAAAGGCTCTCTTAAAGAATTTGGAGCACGCATCGATAATTGGGCCTCTACCCTTCAGACAGAACGTTTGCCATACTCCTTGCACTGAAATGCATTTATGTATCTAAGATTGACAGTTTAAAATTTTAACTGATTCTCTGCATCCATAAATGCTCTCAACTCATTAAGTATAAATTGTGGCATGCTTGTGTCAGAAGCCAGACATAGGTATGGTAAGATTGTAGACAGTGGAGTCAGAGTGCACATGCTGTGGATTCCATCTCACATTGGTCTTCAGATGCATGATAGAACTGATAAAATTGGCTAAGCTGTATGCTTTCAAAGAGGGAGTAGATTACAATCTTGCTTGTCATGTAGTAGTTTGAGAACAATAATTTCGAAAAGAACTTCAACTGAATTTTATTGACTTAAGACTTAGGGAGATTGACACCAGTCAGTCCATCTATCATCATTCTATCATGCAGGAGGAGCCACACGTCTAGGGTGCATCCAACAAAATAACCAGACTCTTGGATGTCACTACCCCCCGGCTCCGGCGGGTTACAATATCTTTGGCAGGTTAAATCACCACCACCAATGTAGACCAAACGAAATGTAAAAATTTGCCAGATGGACTATTGTACACCCTGCGTCATTATGTACTGGAGTGCGATAAAATTAATGAATTTAGAGACAACTCACTCAGAAATGTTCAAGAAATGGCAAAGTATTTTTTCCACAGTGGTATGTTACAGACCATTCTGGGGTAAATACCTGACTTTGCTAGCTGTAAATAAAGCATTACCAGTGTGTGTGTGTGGCCTGTGTTTTGTCCTGTGTGTGTGTGTGTGTGTGTGTGTGTGGTGTGTTGGTGTGTGTGTGTGTTGTGTGTTGTGTGTTGTGTGTGTGTGTGTGTATGGGGTGTGTGTGTGTGTGTGTGTGTGGTGTGGTGTGTGTGTGTATGATGTGTGTGTGTATGAGTGTGTGTGTGTGTATGATGTGTGTGTGTATGAGTGTGTGTTGTGATGAGTGTGTGGGTGTATGAGTGTGGTGTGGTGTGAGTGTGTGTGAGTGTGTGTGTGGTGAGTTTTGGGGTGTGTGTGTAGAGTTGTGTGTGTGTGTATGAGTTGTGTTGTGTAGATGTGTTGTTATGAGTGGTCGTTGATTTGTGCGCGTGTGTGATAGATTTGTGTTTTACTCACCCAAATTTTTGGTTGCAGGGTCGTAGTCTAGCTCCTACCCGCCTCTCACCGTTCTACTAGGCCCCTCTCTCCCCGCTCCATAGCTTACAAACCTCGTCTAAAACTGTGTATGGTTCCGCCTCCATACGTCATTTTAGGGTTTCCACTGCTTTCAACTCTATGACTGAAGAAATACTCCTACTACTCACTGACTCATTGTGTCTTCAACTTCCCCAATTTTGGCCTCTTGTTTCTGTGTCCCCTCCTGGAACATCCGTCCCTTTTCCACCTTGTCTATTCACGCATATTTTATAGTCGTTATCATGTCTCCCCTCCCTCCTGTCCTCCAGTGTCGTCAGGCGATTTCCCTTAATCTTTCCCTTTATAGGACATTCCCTTACTCTGGAACAACCTTGTTGCAACCTTTGTACTTTTAGTTTTTGACGTGCTTTATCAGTGCGGGTTTCCCCAACAGTGCTGCATACTCCCAGTATGGGCCGACATACACGGTTTTAAAGTGGGCTTTAATGATCCTTACTAAGGTGTCGGAATGCTGTTCTAGGTTTGCCAGGCGCCCATATGCTGCAGCAGTTATCTGATTGATGTGTGCTTCCGGAGACATGCTCGGTGTTATACTCACCCCAAGATCTTTCTCCTTGAGTGAGGTTTGCAGTCTTTGGCCACCTAGCCTATACTCTGTCTGTGGTCTTCTGTGCCCTTCCCCTATCTTCATGACTTTGCATTTGGCAGGATTAAATTCGAGAAGCCATTTGCTGGACCAGGTGTCCAGTCTGTCCAGGTCTCTTTGAAGTCCTGCCTGGTCCTCATCAGATTTAATTCTCCTCATTAACTTCACATCATCTGCAAACAGGGACACTTCTGAGTCTAACCTTTCCGTCATGTCGTTCACATATACCAAAAATAGCACTGGTCCTAGGACCGACCCCTGTGGGACCCCGCTCGTCACAGGTGCCCACTGTGATACATCATTACGTACCATGACTCGTTGTTGCCTCCCTGTCAGGTATTCTCTGATCCATTGCAGTGCCCTTCCTGTTATATGCGCCTGATGCTCTAGCTTCTGCACTAATCTCTTGTGAGGAACTGTGTCAAAGGCCGCCTTGCAGTCCAAGAAGATGCAATCAACCCAGCCCTCTCTCTCTTGTCTTACTTCTGTTATTTTATCATAAAACTCCAGAAGGTTTGTGACACAGGATTTGCCTTCCGTGAATCCGTGCTGGTTGGCATTTATACTCCTGTTCCGTTCCAGGTGCTCCACCACTCTCCTCCTGATAATCTTCTCCATAATTTTGCATACTATACACGTCAATGACACAGGTCTATAGTTTAGTGCCTCTTTTCTGTCTCCTTTTTTGAAAATGGGAACTACATTTGCCGTCTTCCATACCTCAGGTAGTTGCCCAGTTTCCAGGGATGTGTTGAAGATTGTGGTAAGTGGTACGCACAACATATCTGCTCCCTCTCTAAGTTTGTGTGTGTGTGTGTGTGTGTGTGTGTGTGTGTGTGTGTGTGTGTGTGTGTGTGTGTCTCAACAATCAATATTTGCACCAATAACTCATTACAGTTGTGACCGGGTGTGGAAGTGTGAATTGCTCATTACTCTATAATTTGTTCATGATTGTACCCATGTATAAACGTAAGTAACCATTCTTACAGGATTCATTACCTTTGTACCTAGTTCAGCTATCAAAACTTTGGGGGCCCAGTCCCTGGACCCATTACGTACCTCTGTAATCTGTAAATACCTTTGTAATTTGTCATGATTGTGACTAGATCTACCTGGAGTTCATTACCTTTGTAAATTGTGAGTTCATTACCTTTGTAAATTGCGAGTTCATTACCTCTGTAACTTGCTCAGCTATCAAAACTTTGGAGTCCAGTCCCTGGACCAATTATGTACCTCTGTAATCTTTTGACTACCGCCCACAGGATGGGTATGGGGTGCATAATAAACATAAACTAACCCTGTACACTGTCCTGTATTGGAGTATGCAGCACCTGTTTGGAACCCACACCTAGCCAAGCACGTAATGAAATTAGAGAAAGTGCAAAGGTTTGCAACAAGACTAGTCCCAGAGCTAAGGGGCATGTCCTACGAGGAGAGGTTAAGGAAAATCAACCTGATGATACTGCAGGACAGGAGAAATAGGGGGGATATGATAACGACATAGAATACTGAGAGGAATTGACAAGATGGACAGACAGATGTTCCAGAGATGGGACACAGCAACAAGGGGTCACACTTGGAAGTTGAAGACTCAGATGAATCACAGGGATGGTAGGAAGTATTTCTTCAGTTACAGAATTGTCAGGAAGTGGGATCGTCTATGAAGTGATGTAGTGGAGGCAGGATCCATACATAACTTTAGGAAGAGGTATGATAAAGCTCATGGAGCAATAGAGCAGGAAGAGTGACCTAGTAGCGACCAGTGAAGAGGCAGGGCCAGGAGCTGTGACAACCCCTGCAACCACAATTAGGCGAGCGCACACACCCCTACTTTTCTCTTCAAGATTCCATTCTGTTGTACAAAAAAATCAACGCACTGACATGACAATAAAATGCCCGTCCATTATCAATGAAATGGCCGACTGTACTAAAACTCGCCACGCTAATTCGCAAATAAGTGTACTGCACAGTGTGATCTACGCCACCATAATATTTCACCCAGGAAGCGCACAAAAAATCTTGAACAGGAACTTTTTGATAGCACCTCGTATAATAATTGTACTGGATTTTGAAGAGATGGTAAATTAATTTTAATACGTATATTACCTGTGTAAGAATGCATTTGGGTGAAAACTACTGCCTAATCCTTGGATGACTGGAGTTAATGAAACCGTGAAATGTAACAAGTAAATATTATTCAGATATGAAGAAATTGCTTGAAAGGTACGGTTCAAGGAAGAGGAGCTGCTTAGATGGTCTGGTCATGGAGAGAAAAATAGAGAAAAACTGATTAAAACAGGAGTGTATAAATCTCCTGTAAATAGAAGACAATGTAGGCAGGTACACAGAATGGCTGTTAAGAGGTATTAAGTGATACAGGGTTTAACATTTAGTAGGAGGCATGTGCGAGTGTTCAGAGATGAGACAGCTATATTTGACATACTGCTGGAATATGCTCAATGTATAATCTATGGAGGATTTTGGGAGAATTGGTTAGCTGGACTTATGGAGGTAGGAATCATCTTGCTGTTGGGAAAGTCATTCTGAATATTTTTTGGGGGGGGAGAGTTAGTCTGCCTGGATGGGGAAAAATAAGCTGAAAAATCTGGAATTCAACAAAATAAATTAGACAAGGAAGTATAAGCTCCCCATGAGGTTAACTCAACATGAATTCTCAGATAACGTAAAAAGGCTTTTTACAGAAACTAACCGCATTAACCTTGGTTTTAATTTTCCACTTTCACACTTCCTTACCCCCATTAACCACTACCCTCACACTCCTATCCCTCACTCCTCACCTTCGCACATCCCTCCCTGAAGTGCATTATGACTTGGCTTTATCTCTTAATTTGAAATTATTAGCACACCTCTGGCAAGATAGTGATAGAGTAAATAGTGGTGAAGGAGTTCCTATTTTCTAGTCGCCCAACCTCGGTGGGAGACTGCCAGTGTTAAAAAAAATTATAATCAGCTAATTATATATTAACAATGCCACATGCAAAACTGTAAATTCAATTTCTAGCCTATGTTATTAATGTTACAAAATGGAAAACAGATAATTGGTGTGACATACTGGTGCACAATCTTCAGCATCAACACAGCCGATGACATTAGCAGTGATCATAAGAGTGTCACCAACTTCCATGTCTTGGAACATGAACATTCTAAAGGTGAAGTTGTTGATCAATGGATTGCGCGAGTCCCTCTTTGGGTGATGACGAGCAATTACCTGCAAGAGTAGAAAATGGGTTATAAACTATTTTAAGAAATAAATTTCATGGTTAGGCATTCAGATATGAACACACACACACACACACACACACACACACACACACACACACACACACACACACACACACACACACACACACACAAACGTTAAAGCAGCATTTGTAATTCAACAAGCTTTGTATTAAGAAAAAGTACATTAAGACAAGGAAAAATGTTGTGCAGGACCTTATATGAAGGATTGCGGCAGCCATCAGCGAAGACAAGGTCAGCAGCGTTGAGTATAGACCGAGCGCGCGGGGCCCCCACCTTCTGGATGATGATTGTTGTGATGCGACTGTACTGCCAACCTGCATTAATTATATGTACTTTTAAAACCGGTTGGTTTATTTCAGCTTTTAGAAACAACAGTATTATCGAAGCCCTTTAAAAATAGTAATTGTTTTCTAAGACCTCGGATAATACACTAAGTTGTGGTGCAGTTCCTGGATCCATTATGTGCCTCTAATGTTTTGACAACGGCCTACAGGATGGGTATGGGGGTACATAATAAAATATTGAACTCAACTAAGGTCTTGAAAGACCAGGGCAAAATTTTTGAAAATAATACATTACATGACATCTCAGAAAAACACTGTTGTGCAAGATCTTTCAGAAACTGACTAAAAGTGCACTAAATGAGACCAATTTTAATAGTAATACACCCCTCAAGGAAGGTTCCTTAATGTTGGTGAGGGGCTCTTGATTTAGGAAATTGGATCTGTGCTCCAGTTCACCGAATTAAGCCTGAATGCCTTCCACATCCCCCCCCCCCCCAAGGCGCTGTATAATCCTCAGGGTTTAGCGCTTCCCCCTGATTATAATAATAGTAGTAATACAACTCGGTAGAAAAAAAAGTCCTAGAATATGCTAAAATGATCGGAATTTAATACCTGTCTCTCCAGTTCCTTTAAGCTATTAAAATCTTAAAATTTAGGTCAAAATTTGTTTATCTCCTAGAATTGGCATTTGACAATTTTGATCTAATTGATCAATTATTTCCTGAGACACTGTAATAGCTTTATCTACTAATTTATTATCTATTAATTCTCACTCAATTTCCCGGTCAGTATATCAGTGTACATCATGACTGAATTTAAGCATTATTAAAAAATTGTAAAAAAAAAAATCTCAAACTGCAAGCCTATAGCTCGGTTTTTTAAGGCAGAAATTTTTTACGTTTCCCTCCATAACTGGCAACTGACAAGGTAAATTATTTATTTGGTCAATTCCTACAAATGTGATAAAAACCTGCACACAGTGTGTTTATTGAATGTTAAGTTAGACTAGACAAATTTCAGAGTCGCCAGATCATGGTTGTATTAAAACAACATTGATCTGGCTAGCAACGTTGATGTCTATAAAACACTAATTTAAGCCAATCATAAAGACAATATTATTATTATGGGAGAGCGCTAAACCGTTAGGTATTATACATCGCTTGTGGGGGGTGGGGAAGGTATTCAGAGTTAATTCAGGGAACTGGAGCACAGATCCAATTCCCCAGATCAAGAGCCTCTCACCAGCGTCAAGGAACCTATCTTGAGGGGACCCATCAATGCAATATGGCATAAATATTTTAAGTTAATCATATCTTACAAATTAATATATATATTATGCGTCTATTACAAAATTAAAGATAATTAGGTACGAGAAGTAGGCTATGAAATCTTAAAGAGGATTTCTCAGCTCGAGACAATACTACTGGCTACACCTCCCCAAAATGTATAATTCAAAAAGACAGAGCAGCCTTTGAGAGGCACTGTACTTACCATCACCAGCTCTGACGATAGAGCGAAGCTGCACCTCCTCCCCGAGGTCAAGCTCCACCTCTGGGGTCACTATTGATGCAAACAGGTCAGTTCCTGGGAGCTTCCTGAAGAGACCGATCTCACACTGGAACTCCTGTTGACCTCCTTCAAACAGTGACGTGGACAACACTCCATTTCTGAATATTGGGAGAAGATGGTAACTAGTGGGAAGGAAAGACCATATAGAAAAGAGAGTAAATGAGAAAGAGAAAGTTGATAAAGTAAACGAAAGATTGAGAAGTATATATAAAAGTAAATGGAAGGGAGAGAGAAATGGAAAAAAAAATAAATAAAAAGCAAGAATTAGGAACATTGAGGCATAAAAAATACAAAAGGTTTGAAGATTATATACAGCAGGCCTACTAGTCAGGGGTTTCAAAGCCACAGTAGGCCCACTCGCAAGGGGTTTCAAGCTACAGTAGGTCTACCAGTAAAATAGTTACTTTAGGTAAAAAGTATAGAAATTAACACTATATTCCATAGTCTTATGTGCTCAAATATTTATATAAAGATAATAATATTTCATTTTTAATGAAAGTCTTAACAGAGGTGAACATCAGAGGTGGCTACCAAACATTGCTCAGGAATCTTTGCAAAAGACACATTGAGAATGTTAGATATTATTCCATTACATCAATAACACTGCGACTAGCCAAGGACTCGAACCCATGCTGCTTTGGCCTGCCACATGGTGGGGGGAAAACTCATGACGCCTTAATCCACGGGACCACACGATCAATACCACTTGTTCGTGGGTACAATAATTCCATTACATGTTAGAGTTCTGCTGCAACGCAACCACAGCACTGTGTTCAGGGTTACACTATAGATGAATTTTTCCACTTGGTAAACCTTCACTAATTAAGAGTTTTTCAGAGAATTTTATTACACCATGAAATTACAAAATTACCGAAGGATTTTGAAGAAATGACACTAGAACAAAAGCTTTCGTGGCAACAACATTTTTGCTCTGTTAGAGACTTATTATATCTGGTTTTACAAACTTTGATAAAGTGAAACATTAGCCCAGTAAAATCAAGTTCTGCAATGTATGTCTGTTCTTCACTACTGTTTGAAGTCAGACATTTGGATCATGCTTAAGATGTACTGGGGACTGAACTGGCAACACTCCAGTTCTAAGTTTACTTCTTAGCTACTGTGTGGCTAAGTTCTGGACTTGAAAATGCAGGACTGCCAGGTCAGACCTCAAAAGTCCTGGCACACAGTTTTTCAAAGAACTCGACGGATTATCACTAACAAAATCAATGGATTTAAATAACAAAAAAAGGCACAATACCGTGACTGGAACGATACACAAATAACCCGCACATAAAAGAGAGAAGCTTACGACGACGTTTCGGTCCGACTTGGACCATTGACAAAGTCAGTGTGACTTTGTCAATGGTCCAAGTCGGACCGAAACGTCGTCGTAAGCTTCTCTCTTTTATGTGCGGGTTATTTGTGTATCAATGGATTTATTAAGAGACCTATTTCAACTAACCTTTTACATCGATAAATTATATTTACCGGGTTGCAGTTGCATTTAATTTAAAAGATTTACATAACGAGACAATAACATTAATTATTAAGTGATAAAACTGGTGATACAGACGTTGTGGAAGAAAAAGGAAATGCAAGCACTAGGATATTATATTGAAAAGGTTTCATTGATCCTTGGTCAAAGCTGCAGTGACCCAGGTCACACTTGCAGTGACCCAGGTAACACTTGCAGTGACCCAGGTCACACTTGCAGTGACCCAGGTCCCAGGACCGAAAACTTTCTAATAAAATATCCTAGCAGTAATCATTAGGCTTAAAGTTTTTTTTTTTTTGGTTACGTCTAACTATATACAATATTAATAATCAGCATGGAGAATCTTTAATGAAAAATCACAATTTAGAAAGATTTATAATCGTATCAGATGTATCAAATGAATTTTCATTAGGAAATATTAGACAAGAAACATATTATAAAAGAAACAATGCCAATAAATTCAACGTAGGCTCCCAGAAGGTAAGAATTAGTGGCGTTGATAGTGTCTGTAGCTGTCAGAGAAATGTTGAAGTTTCTGTAGCTGTCAGAGAAATGTTGAAGTTTCTGTAGCTGTCAGAGAAATGTTGAAGTGTCTGTCAGTTCTTGTTCACCGTGTCAGTTCTTGTATCACCGTGTGATTTTAAAGTCTCATAATTACTAAACTGTATAGTCCTTGTGGCTTAGCGCTTCTTTTTGATTATAATAATAATAATAATTACTAAAGTACAATCATAATATTAGGTAGTCTGGTGTTGAATTACTTTCCGATGTCGTTTTTCGTCATTGTTATGATCATGGGAGAGCACTAAACCCGTAAGATTATACAGCTCATGTGGGGATGGAAGGTATTCAGGCTTAATTAATTCAGGGAATTGGAGCACAGATCCAATTCCCTAGATCAAGGAACTTCCCCTGAGGGGTCTTTTTTTTAATAAATTAAATATGAAGATTGCAAATTAGAAAAAAATATAACAAATTGGTTAAATTTCAAGAGACATTTTTGCACATGATAGTTTTAATTTTTTTTAATTTATTTGCTCTGCAAACAATTTATATTTTGGTCCTTCACGGGGGTGCCTTGATGCTGGCAAGGGCTCTTGATCCATGGAATTTTAGCTTCCCTTCCCTTTCTTGGATCAAACCTGATTACCTTTGATTAAACAATTGGTGTGTGACTCCTATGAGTTCAGTGCTTTCCTGTAAATATATTTAAATTTTGGGATGGATTATATTATAGGCCTCAGACGCCTTCAAGGGGGGTCACCTCTCCCCCTTCCCCCATTTATTTTACCTCGTGATAAAGGAAACGCTGGTTAGGTTAGGTAAGGTTTGTTAGGAAACAGGACAAGTGTTTCCTGACGTGGGTCATATGATGACCCGCCGCTGGAGCTTTTGGTCATCTGACCGAGGTCTTCCCCTGGCTTACTGGCCCACCCCCTTTAAAAATTATGGTTATTACGAGACACTGGCTTCTTGATTCCAAGCCTAAACACACACACACACACACACACACACACACACACAGGATGTTCCAGAGAGGGGACACAGAAACAAGGGGTCACAATTGGAATCTGAAGACTCAGATGAGTCAGAGGGATGTTAGGAAGTATTTCTTCAGTCACAGTTGTCAGGAAGTGGAACAGTCTAGTAAGTGATGTAGTGGAGGCACGAAACGTACATAGCTTTAAGACGAGGTATGATAAAGTTCGGGGAGCAGAGAGAGAGAGAGAGAGAGAGAGAGGACCTAATAGCGATCAGTGAAGAGGCGGGGCCAGGAGCCGAGTCTCGACCCCTGCAACCACAATTAGGTGAGTACAATTATGAGAGCACCCACCCACCCACACACACACACACACACACACCACCCACACACACACACACACACACGTGAAGAGGCTTCTGAGTGAGCTAGATACCTCAAAGGCAATGGGGCCGGATAACATCTCTCCATGGGTCCTGAGAGAGGGAGCAGAGGTGCTATGTGTACCCCTAACAGCAATATTCAACACATCTATCGAAACGGGGAGATATCTGAGGTATGGAAGACAGCAAATGTAGTCCCAGTTTTTAAAAAAGGAGAGACATGAAGCACTAAACTACAGACCAGTGTCACTGACATGTATAGTATGTAAAGTCATGGAGAAGATCATCAAGAGAAGAGTGGTGGAACATCTAGAAAGGAATGACCTCATCAACAGCAGCCAACATGGTTTTAGGGACGGGAGATCCTGTGTCACAAATCTACTGGAGTTCTATGACAGGGTGACAGCAGTAAGACAAGAGAGAGAGAGGGAGGGGTGGGTAGATTACATTTTCTTGGACTGTAAGAAGGCGTTTGACACAGTTCCACACAAGAGATTAGTGTATAAACTGGAGGACCAGGCAGGGATAACAGGGAAGGCACTACAATGGATCAGGGAATACTTGTCAGGAAGACAGCAGCGAGTCATGGTATGTGGCGAGGTGTCAAAGCAAGCACCTGTGACGAGTGGGGTTCCACAGGGGTCAGTCCTAGGACCAGTGGTGTTTCTGGTATTTGTGAACGACATGACGGAAGGAATAGACTCCGAAGTGTCCCTGTTTGCATATGATGTGAAGTTGATGAGAAGAATTCATTCGGACGAAGACCAGGCAGAACTACAAAGGGAAAGGCTGCAGACCTGGTCCAGCAATTGGCTCCTGGAGTTCAACCCCACCAAGTGCAAAGTCATTAACCAAATAACTGCTGCAGCATACGGGCTCTTAGCAAACTTAGGAACAGCATTCCGACATGTTAATAAGGAATCGTTCAGGATCCTGTACACTATGTACGTTAGGCCCATATTGGAGTATGCGGCACCAGTCTGGAACCCACACCTAGCCAAGGACGTAATGAAACTAGAGAAAGTGCAAAGGTTTGCAACAAGACTAGTCCCAGAGCTAAGGGGTATGTCCTATGAGGAGATATTAAGGGAAATCGACTCTGACGACACTGGAGGACAGGAGAGATAAAGGGGACATGATAACGACATATAAAATACTGAGAGGAATTGACAAGGTGGACAAAGACAGGATGTTCCAGAGATGGGACACAGCAACAAGGGAACACAATTGGAAGTTGAAGACACAGATGAATCACAGGGATGTTAGGAATTATTTCTTCAGTCACAGTAGTCAGGAAGTGGAATAGTTTTGGGAAGCGATGTAATGGAGGCAGGATCCATACATAGCTTTAAGCAGAGGTATGATAAAGCTTATTGTTCTGGAAGAGTAACCCAGTAGCGACCAGTGAAGCGGGGCCAGGAGCTAGGACTCGACCTCTGCAACCACAACTAGGCGAGTACACACACACACACACACACACACACACACACACACACACACACACACACACACACACACACACACACACACACACACACACACACCATATGACGCTAGATCCAACAATACATTCTTCCCACATCCCCCAACACGCACTCATCTATTAACGTTACACACTACGTTATCAACTTAACTAACCATAGCCCACACCCACCACCTGCTCTCTAACACTGCTATATTACTGGTAACTTTGTATGGCACTATTATGATAGATTATTCGAGGATCAAGTGGAATCAGGTAGAATCCCAAATGTTATAGTGATGGGTTTTGGGGTAATCTTTCCTAGTAATTTGAAATTACTAATGAGACTAGCTAGTTGACTGGATACAACACTTCTCTCGTCTCAGTAAGTAAATGTCTTGAGCTAATTTATTTACATATCTATTAAAAAGTGTAAACTATTTTATGTGGTAAAACAAACTGAAAACTATAGGCATAAAGGAATTAATAGTTTAAAGATCAGTGGCTATTCTTTAATAAGCAGAAACAAATTTTTAGTGAAAATTAAATGTAACCATTCCTTACCAAATAAATCCACAATTAACCGTTTCTAGTTAAAAACTATACATGTTTACAGGTTAGGTAAGGTAAGGTTCGTCAGGAAACGGGACAAATGTTTCCTGACGCGGGTCTTAGTCAGATGACCCGCCATTGGAGCTTTTGGTCATCTGACCGAGGCCTTCTGCTGGCTTGCCATTAAAAACTATGGTCCTAGTTATAACCATTTAGTTATATATGTATACAGATATCAGTATTCATGCTGTTAGTCAAATAACTTAGTTCTCTGTCTCCGAGATAGAAGGAAGAGGAGAGAAGTTGGGAGTTGGGTGCCTACATTGCCTCTTTAGCGGCGTACTTGGCAGTGGCTACCCTCAAGACGTGGGTATCCTGAGCAACCTTGTCCTGTGGCCGACACCGGATCTGAATAATCTCGTCCTCAGGCAGTTTAAGTCCGTTCACCAGAGGGAACCGTAGTTGTAGACACAGCCAAGTCTGCAACACGTTTTATGTACAAGAGTATAAAAATAGGAGTAGTAAATAGATGTAGTCGTAGTATAGTAATATATGTCATAGTACAGAAGTAATATAGTACCAATATAATAATGGTAATATAGTAGTAATAATATAGTAGCAATAAAGTAGTAGCATTAGCAACATAGTCATAACAGTGGTAACTCTCATAAGAGTCATGCGGTGCCCCGTGGCCTGGTGGTTAAAGCCCTCGCTTCACACGGCGAGGATCCAGGTTCGATTCCCGGCGAGGGTAGAAACACTGGGCGCGTTTCTTTACACCGGTTGTCTATGTTCCCATCAGTAAAATGGGTACCTGGGTGTTAGCCGACTGGTATGGGTCGCATCTTGGGACAAAACTGACCTAATTTGCCCGAAATGCTCAGCATAACAAGCGGCTTTCTGTATAGTAGTATATTATTGATGTCAGCTAGGACTGTATACCTCGTACATGTACTTTTAGAAATAAAGATATTATATTATTCAGCACTATACATTGTACTGAGAAACCCAGAATAATGAGGGACCAAAGACCAAGTCCTGAAGTAGCCAGAAACAAAATGCATACATCTATTTTTGCAAGAGAAACACAAGGCTTTTATTTCACTTGCAGTGTTGCTACCTGTGTAGGTTCTTAATTGAACCTTGTAGATGCTCCACCTGCGAGGCTAATTATGTTCACCAGGAAGCCCTAAACCCGTAAGGCTTCATGAAGCACCTTCGTAATGAAAGGTAATGAAGCTTGATCCAAGGAGAGGGAAGCTCCAGTTTCTTGAATCAAGAGGTACTCCTTCAAGGTACTCCTCCTATTGAAGGGCAAACTAGCTAAACTAGCCTTACTAGGTTCAAGAGCGTCACCTCCCTAGGTTCAAGAGCCTCACCTCCCTAGGTTCAAGAGCCTCCCCTCCCTAGGATCAAGAGCCTCACCTTCCTAGGGTCAAGAGCCTCACCTCCCTAGGATCAAGAGCCTCACCTCCCTAGGGTCAAGAGCCTCACCTCCCTAGGGTCAAGAGCCTCACCTCCCTAGGGTCAAGAGCCTCACTTCCCTAGGTTCAAGAGTCTCACCTCCCTAGGTTCAAGAATCTCACCTCCCTAGGTTCAAGAGCCTCACCTCGCCATTGGGTTGTCGACACTCCCTCACTCCACATCGCTCTAGGTCCGAGACAATGAGTTGGAACATGTCATTAGTGAGTTGTGTGGGGATCATCCTGCAGGCGGTGTTGATGGTGGGGTCGATGGTAGGTCTGTCCTCGAAGACTGGGATAGCATTGTATCCCAGAGGCAGTGACAATACCGCCATGAAAGAACTAGTAGAGCCAGTCTTCATACACTTAATATCTTCCCACATGAAAAAGAAGACAAAACAGTTGAAGTGCAGTTACTATTATTATTATTATTACTAGAAAACACATCACATCACCTAAAGAAAAAAGTATACATTTATGCGCTGGAATGTAAGACATTTTACTATTCCATTTGTGCGGAAATTCCAATCTCATAAGCTTTTTACAGAGCCTGGGAGACGATAGGTTTGTTCAGAGAAAGGCGAGAGGTAGCCGTTTCCTCGGATCAAGAGCTCTTCATCAGAATCAAGGCAGCCTCCTTGAAGGAAAGTATTGTCAAGAAAATGGCCTGGTGGTTATAAGTTTATTTAGGAAGAGGTACACAAATACAATCATACAGAGTAAATTACCTAGGAAAACCCTCGTTCGTTCTTGTTAATTAGGGACACCATGAGCATAGTCCTGTTGTTGTAACTACAAACAGATAATTACAAATGGACAATTGCATCTTTCTTTGTAAAGTGATCTTACCTGTTACCTGTGCTTGGTCAGCCCCAGGTGGGGGTGATGGAGAACTGATGGGTGGTGGGATGGCTGGTGGACCAAAGCTGCCCATAAGTGAAGGTGTGGGTGTGGAGGGTGGCAAGACTGGTGGTGCAGGAGGCTTTATGTCCAACCCTGGTACTGCAGGCGGACCAAAGAATCCATGTGGCACTGCCGGGGGCAGCGCTGGTGGCCGGATAGACGGAGGTGACCCTACGCTTCTCGATGTGTTCGTCTCCAGCTGTAAGAATTATATTCACATAAATGTTTATTTTTTGAGTGTCGTAAGAGACTAAAATGCTGGGAGCAAGGGGCTAGTAACCCCTTCTGCTGTATGTATTACTAAATTTAAAAGGAGAAACTTTCAGTTTTCCTTTTGGGCCACCCTGCCTTGGTGGGATATGGCCAGTTTGTTGAAAGTATGTTTATTTAGGCGCAGGTACACACAAGTACAATTATCATAAATAGTATAAATTACATAGAATAATCCCCCAGAAAAGTCAGACAAAGTGACTTATTTCCATTGGGTTCCTTGAATTTCCATTGGGGGTCACGCAACGCCTGGGGAAGGGAAGAAGGGCTTGATCCAAAGAACTTCGTTCCAATTTTATGTACCAGAAGAGCCTTCTCAAGCTTCCCATGAAGAGAGGATGGTGCAAACGAGTCACGGATAATTTGCAGTACAACCTGCCATAGCTTAGTGGGAAGAGTTGCGGCTCTCATCTCCCAGCTCCGGGGATCAAATCGTCGGCCGGGAAAGAATTTTTTTTTATTAGGAAGAAGCAGTGCCACATTGTAATGCCGATCCCCTAAATCTTTATGGTCATTAGGTCGAACTCAAATTCTTCCTTTTGTTTGATAAAATATTGAAGTGTCAGGCAGAGAGGGTAAAGCCCAGAAGTTTAAAAAGAAAAATTGTCACCAGAAACTCACAAATTAAATTGAGAATGTTAATGCTACATGATTCTTGGGGAACAAAAAGGCACCATTTACATAGTCGGTGTGACTAAATGGTCCAAGTCGGACCGAAACGTCGTTAACTCCTCATCTCTCCTATGTGCGGGTTATTTGTGTATCCATGGGGAAAGCTCTAAGCCCACAGGGGGTCAAACAGCGCCTCGGCATACATTAGACATATGAATAATGCATGTCAGAGCCTTTCTATAAATCCTTAGAGAAAAAATAATAATGGGTAAACATCCTCGCAACGTTTATAAAAGGAGGGGAGGGGGAGGGGGAGGGGAGGAGGGGGAGGGTTGCCTGGTACTTAGTCAACCAAATATATTTATACTTCGCTACCGCAGCAAAGTGACTACGTCGAGGGAGGGAGCGGGGACTTGCCGTTGGTAGCGAGCATCTAGAAACGGATTCCCGGAGCAACACGCCAAGAGGGAGTCTGCCCGAGTCTTCTAGGTCAGCATCAGCACTCGGTGGTACAATGGGCAGGACTGGGATAAGTGGTGGAAATAATAAAGAAAGCAGTCAAGGAGAAAGGTGAAAGTCACTACAAGTAGAACATCGAATCTCGATGGGGAAAAGAAAGCTACGAGTGCCTGTAGTGAAAGCTATTGAAGAAACGAAATGCAAGGAGTGAGAAAGAACGGTTTATTATAATAGCAAGAAAGATTTAAATATTTATTGGGGGCACACTAGTTAACAGCAGAAGCGAGATCGCACACGATTCCCTTCATCCTCCAAGGGGTTCAGTTGGGAGATCAACGATACCTTTATAGTGGCATCTCCCTCTACTGAGCCATTTCCCTAGGCACTGGACAACTCCTATGGGATTAGCGCTCGTCATGATTGTAATAACCTACTTTGCCCTGCCACACTACAACTAAACTAGTAATAAAAGAACGATAGGTATGGAGTGAGTAGAAAAACAGGAGAGGGTGACCTATAAACGGGTAAAAAAAAAAAAAAAGCCAAAGGACCAGAGTTCACTCCTAATGCAGATGGAGACTCTTACACCTGCTACCCTTGTTCACTAGCATTAAGTAGGTAACTGGGTGTTAGTAGACCGTTGTGGGTCGTATCCTGAGGGGCAGAGGGTGGACTTCAAAATTAGCCGAGGCAGGGCAACATTTCAGTCTGTAAAATTTAACGGAGAATAAATAAGCAAGCACTGGTGATCTTACCGCCTGGGAGCGTCTCCTGGGCTCAGGAAGAACCGGGCGGAGCTTCCTCTTGCGTGTGCGCACGGCCGCCACGCCCATCCTGTTTACAGGCGCTCCGATCTTGGTGAGATGAGTCGTCCCGTTCAGGTGGCGGTCTACATCCTTTCCGTTGCTGTGCAGATCTTCATCGTACAAGTCTTCGTAATCCCCGTCGTCACCGTGTAGGTCGTCGTCATCCACGTCGTCACCGTGTAGGTCGTCGTCATCCACGTCGTCACCGTTTATGTCGTCAGGGAAATCTTCAGATGCTGAGACCTCCTTACTGGTGTCGTCCCCCTCTATGTTTATCTCTGAACTCTGAAGGACGACAAAAGTGAAGGGTTTAGCCATTATACACAAAAAGCACATGAATATACTGCCCTGAGAAATTGTCGATATACCCCCAAGAGGAGCGTATCTCTTGTTAATATACGCCGAGGTCTCATTTGATTGTGTGTTTCAAGGACTAATGTGTTCTTGATATCAACAGAGTTGACATCTCGTGAAGTCGATGAGCCACAAACCTCTCCTGGTTATCCCTTCATAAAAATCCAGGTATGTACTCACTGGATGAAGAGAAAGGGCATGGGGTCAGGGCGAGGAGGAAGGACACAAAGGCATAGCATTTGATCCAGTCTACACAACGTGATACAGAGATTAGAGAAACTGAAGGACAGGCGTGTACGAAAGTAACCAATGGAAAAGGAAATGGGAAGAATTGAACCATATGGAGAAGTTAAAGGGAGAAGAACCAAGCAAGGCCTTGAGTCCAGAACTGATAGGCGCCATTATATTGGAGCTAGTAGCAATCAGGGCTGCAACGCCTTAGAATGAAGATCTGGCAAGTACACCAAATCAACTGCTCTTTCACATGACACAGGTATTACACAACCTGACGCCTTTGTTTGATCTTAACCAGTGACCTGTTTTCTGTACTGTCTCATTCTCCTGTATGATTTGGAGTGACCATGGTCTCAGGATCGAAGCTTTTACAATGATTTCCTAATTGTATGCACGTGTGTCTTTATCATCTACAAATCATGAAACGAAGAAATGAGGCTCCTGGGAATGTATGGAAGGATATAAATATGAACGATACAGACTAGTGTGAAGAATACAATATTCCCCCTCCCCCCAAAAAAATGAAAAACAAAAACAGAGCAGTAGTAAAATGAAGACCCCGCAAGATAATTAATATTTTTTCCGTTAATGCTGCAACGACTTATTCTCGACACTAAGAACAAGATGATTAATTAAAACACATGTGCAACATTTGGGTATCTTTACTTGTAAGACGTTTCACCATCCAGTGGCTTTATTAGTACAATACATGGACGTAACAGTAATAAATACAGCAAACAGCTAAAAATAAAGTAATCAGTCACCCAACCAAAGGAGCAGACGATTATCACCGTAGTCTTAGGTAAGGTTCGTCAGGAAACAGGACAAGTGTTTCCTGTTGCGGCCACTAGAGCCTTTGGTCATGTGACCGAGGCCTACCGCTGGCTGACCGGTCCACCTCTTGCTAGCATTAGCAATAAATAATCTCTTACTGGATAACACTCACCGCAACGATGTAAGTGGCGTTCCGACGTGGACGAGTCTGAGAGATCTCCGGTGGCAGCCTCCTGCCGTAGCCTGGAGGAGCAGGGAATCCGTACACGGAGATTCTGATGGGTGAAGAGGCATGACACAACGCCCACACACACACCAACAACCACGACGAAACTAACGCCCACGCCCGCATCTGGAGGGAGTGGCCGAAGGTAAATATAATTTGTTAGAAAAATGAGCAAAAAATGCAATATTATTTATTATAAGAATACACAAAGCAAGTTCTTCCTGAAGTGGCTGTCGAGGTCCTGCAAACTTAAAATTATTCTGAAGAATAAAAAGGCACAATGCCGTGACTAGTCAATGGTTCAAGTCGGACCGAAACGTCGTCATAAGTTTCGGTCTCTTATGTGCGGGTTATTCGTGTATTAAAATTCATTTCTTCTTAGCCTGGCTGCCAGAGAAGCGCGTCAGTCACTCGATTAACAAACAGTTTGAATCGCCAACAACTGCTCAGAATAACCCCACACGAGCTTAGCGCTTCAGAAATTATAGCTGCAATCGGCAAAATTATAACTAAATGCAGTCTGACGCGCAATCCAGCAAGGTGAAGCAGACTCCAACAACGTATCCCGTAACCCACATAACTCAAGAGAAAAGCAGTTATATAAATTAAGTCTTTTATATAACTGCCTCTCTTCACCTCTCCATTTTCCCACCTCTCCGCCTTTCCTCTTCCCAACATTTTTCGTTTCCCTTATTGACAATAAAGACATAACTAAGAACTATATGGTGAGTGTGTAGGGAATGTGTAAGCAGTGAAGGGTGTGTCTGGATACAAGTTGGGAAAACGTGTGAGTTAGGGAAGTGTGGAGTTGAGGTGGAGTTGGGAAGGTGTAGGAATAATGGGAGTGAGATGGTGGTGACCTGTGTCAGCTAAAGTGATCTACCAACACGGTAATGCGGTAGAAACTAAGCTTAAGCTGCTGGATTCCGCAATGAGAGAATGTAGGAGCTGGGAGTACGCCAGCAGAACTGCACTCGTGAATACAAATATAAATTAGAGACATGTACACAGTACACTCTTATATACACTCAGACACATCTGTACTATTTGGAACGTTGTGGGTTCGAAATTATGAACTCCGCCATTAAAGTGTGTCTGGACCCGGTTATGTCGGGTTCAGACACACTGAAAAATTCTACAGGAATTGGTTCCAGATCTGTGCACGAAATCACTGTATGAAAGTGAGAGGCTTACAAGACTGTCAACCAGGGTCGCCTCGCTTACACTTGCAGGTAACTCAATATATGTAGAGAGAGAAAGACTTTACAACATCCTTTATACCTAATTTATACCTAAAGGGGACTACCAACAAGCTCCTTGCTAACATCACAAACGAACTAGCTAAGTTCCTGAAGTCAGTTCCTGATCAGTCGGACTATGGTGCATACGCTGAACTGGGAAACTTTATTCAGGAAACGTTTCGCCACACAGTGGCTTCATCAGTCCAATACAAAGAGGAAGGCGTAAGGAGAGGAGGAGTATGAGGTAATCAGTCCCTCAGCCTGGAGTCGATGTGTTCAGTCCATCAATCTTGTAGAATGTACAGCACAGGGCCGTAGACGTGGCTTATATACTGTAGTGAGGTGAGGTGAAGCAGGCGGAGGCAGGCCGTAGACGTGCTATATACTGTAGTGAGGTGAGGTGAAGCAGGCGGAGGCGGGGTCATAGTGGTACCATCCACTAGTCGAAGTAGGTCTTCGTCCAAAGGTTGAACACTACAGTATATAAGCCACGTCTACGGCCCTGTGCTGTACATTCTACAAGATTGATGGACTGAACACATCGACTCCAGGTTGAGGGACTGATTACCTCATACTCCTCCTCTCCTTACGCCTTCCTCTTTATATTGGACTGATGAAGCCACTGTGTGGCGAAACGTTTCCTGAATAAAGTTTCCCATATGCTGCATAAGTGTCTCAATCTTCAACTTGACGGTTTTTCAAACCATTCATCACATACGCTGAACTGCGTGAGGCTAGTACCAACAACCTGGTTAATCAGGCCACCTACCAAGTGGTCTGGTCAGAGACAGTTGCTCATTTTTCTTCTACTTATCAGCATGAACATTGAAGTTATTCGTTCACGTGGGAAGTAATTCACACACACGGTCCTGACTACACATAAGAATTATGTACATAAAAAATGAACATTAATAATAAATACTTAATTGGAAAAAAGTAATCCCTCATTTATATCTACAAAGTGCTTCGTATATAGAATATATACATGTCGTGGCGAATGGGTAAAGCTTGTGATTGTGGCTTAAATAGCAACGCTCTTCTTGCCGAATAAGGAAAGCGAAAATTTGTGTATGCAATAATTTCGCAAAAATAATGCTGAACCTAAAAAAAAAAATATTTCATTGTATTTATTAAATTATTGTAAACTTGTGTAAAATATATTTAGTTGAATTAGGCTAAATTATATTGCGTTTGTAACAATAAGGTCAGGTAAGTTTTCTAAGGTTGTTTTGTAACAAAATTACTAATTTTTACATTATCATAAATGAAAAAAATATATATTTAAATGTATAAGAGAAAATTTTAGAAACGACAGTTTTAAAAGTTCCTGCTAATTAATCAATTTTACCTATTCAGTACGACATTATATATAAGCAGGAAAACATTAACATCTCTCTGACCCATCAGGAGCTTCTCAGCGAGACTGTCAACGTCTTTTACAAGATTAATGTGGCTACGAGGGAGCACTAACAAGCTTGTGGTCTCTGATAATATCTAATACAAGTTTGAAATATTATTATATGATGGTGAGCGTGATAGTCTTATCACTGTGCTGGCAGTGAATAACAAGAGGCTAGATGATCAAGTGAGATACTGTCTCATGCTGGACCTACTGTCATGTGCGGGACTTTGTTACCCTGAAGTCTAGGGTGTGTTAGGGCGCCTCTCTCCACACTGACACTGACACTGACACACTGCTCCTCACTCCACACTGACACTGACACACTGCTCCTCACTCCACACTGACATACTGCTCCTCACTCCACACTGACATACTGCTCCTCACTCCACACTGACATACTGCTCCTCACTCCACACTGACATACTGCTCCTCACTCCACACTGACATACTGCTCCTCACTCCACACTGACACACTGATATACTGCTCCTCACTCCACACTGACACACTGATATACTGCTCCTCACTCCACACTGACACTGACACACTGACATACTGCTCCTCACTCCACACTGACATACTGCTCCTCACTCCACACTGATATACTGCTCCTCACTCCACACTGACACTGACATACTGCTCCTCACTCCACACTGACACACTGATATACTGCTCCTCACTCCACACTGACACTGATATACTGCTCCTCACTCCACACTGACACTGATATACTGCTCCTCACTCCACACTGATATACTGCTCCTCACTCCACACTGATTATACTGCTCCTCCCTCCACACTGACACACTGATATACTGCTACTCCCTCCACACTGACACACTGATATACTGCTCCTTCCTCCACACTGACACACTGATATACTGCTACTCCCTCCACACTGACACACTGATATACTGCTCCTTCCCCCCACACTGACACACTGATATACTGCTACTCCCTCCACACTGACACACTGACTATACTACTGCTACTTCCTTCCACACTGACACACTGATATACTGCTCCTTCCTCCACACTGACACACTGATATACTGCTATTTCCCTCCACACTGACACACTGATATACTGCTACTCCCTCCACACTGACACAATGAATACTGCTACTCCCTCCACACTGACACACTGATATACTGCTCCTTCCTCCACACTGACACACTGATATACTGCTACTCCCTCCACACTGACACACTGATATACTGCTACTCCTTCCACACTGACACACTGATATACTGCTACTCCTTCCACACTGACACACTGATATACTGCTCCTTCCTCCACACTGACACACTGATATACTGCTACTCCCTCCACACTGACACACTGATATACTGCTACTCCTCCACACTGACACACTGATATACTGCTCCTTCCTCCACACTGACACACTGATATAACTGCTACTACTCCCTCCACACTGACACACTGATATACTGCTACTCCTTCCACACTGACACACTGATATACTGCTACTCCTTCCACACTGACACACTGATATACTGCTCCTTCCTCCACACTGACACACTGATATACTGCCTACTCCCTCCACACGGGACACACTGATATACTGCTACTCCCTCCACACTGACACACTGATATACTCTACATCCTTCCACACTGACACACTGATATACTGCTACTCCCTCCACACTGACACACTGATATACTGTTACTCCTTCCACACTGACACACTGATATACTGCTCCTTCCTCCACACTGACACACTGATATACTGCTACTCCCTCCACACTGACACACTGATATACTGCTCCTTCCTCCACACTGACACACTGATATACTGCTCCTTCCTCCACACTGACACACTGATATACTGCTACTCCCTCCACACTGACACACTGATATACTGCTACTCCTTCCACACTGACACACTGATAACTGCTACTCCCTCCACACTGACACACTGATATACTGCTCCTTCCTCCACAACTGACACACTGATATACTTGCTACTCCTTCCACACTGACACACTGATATACTGCCCTTCTCCACACTGACACACTGATATACTGCTACTCCTTCCACACTGACACACTGATATACTGCTACTCCCTCCACACTGACACATTGATATACTGCTACTCCCTCCACACTGACACACTGATATACTGCTACTCCCTCCACACTGACACACTGATATACTGCTCCTCACTCCACACTGACACACTGATATACTGCTCCTCACTCCACACTGACACACTGATATACTGCTCCTCACTCCACACTGACACACTGATATACTGCTCCTCACTCCACACTGACACTGATATACTGCTCTTCACTCCACACTGACACTGATATACTGCTCCTCACTCCACACTGACACAGTGATATACTGCTACTCCCTCCACACTGACACATTGATATACTGCTACTCCCTCCACACTGACACATTGATATACTGCTACTCCCTCCACACTGACACACTAATATACTGCTCCTCCTTCC